GAAGAGCATATTTTGATCTCTGATCACATCTTGAAAAACATAAATCATGGCTTTCTTTGGAAGACAGGCAAATATAAAACACAGTGTCATTGTCTAACACAACACTGATAATAAAACCACTAGCTAGATTACTGAGGATCAAATGCACTTTTATAGAAATACTACAATTCACTAGGAATAATAAAACAGAATGGAGACTCCTAGAAGTCAAGCTTCCAACTTGAGTGTGTTTAATAGCACTGGTGCTCTTCCATGTGGAAAAATATGTGAAATAATTGAAGACTCATAATAATGCAAACTAACCCTGAAACCTAACTCAATAAAGTGCAAACAATATAATAGGAAAAATAAAAGTGATATTAATAAACTGACCTAATTAACTGTAGACCTTTACATAACAGTAAATTAACAAAGCGTTAATTTTTGTTAGTTAATTTTGCAGTACTCTGTATTTGTTGTAGTACATTCAATATATATTCAGAAAAATACTTGAAACCTGGACAAAATGGTCTAAAAACATCCAGAGATTATGCAAACAAGGTATAACCAGGAAAAATTAATGAATATTTAAAATTAGTTATTTTTCCAAAGAGAAATCTAGCAATAACTAAGAGCCAATTGGTTTTGTCCAAAAAAATTAATTCCTCAGTCACACACACACACATAGACACAGACACTTGTGCAATCCCAATAGTAACACTCACCAGGCCCACTTCTTCTGATATGTCAAAAATAAAAGCTACAATCTCTCAGCCCACTGAGCTGCTACTCTGACTCCAGAATTCTCCATTAATCTGTCTCAGAAGAAGGAATCTATGACTTGCAGAAAGCCACAAACTTCTAAACCCAGGTTTTGAGACTCGAAGTAGCTACAACATTCAAAAGCCATAAACTAACATCATCGGGTCAATAAAATTCTCAACAGCTTCTTCTTCTCTAGCATCTGAGGTGTTTACTTGTATCAAGTTCTACAGTTCAAATGCCAGGTAATTAACAAGAAAAAACACCTCTTTTCTGCTGTTCTCACTCTTTCTTTAAACACTTTCCACAGCGTAGGGCCAAAAGTGGTACTGTGCAAGCAATATGGACCAGATCTACATTCTGAAAATAATTGCTAATAGTGGGGAGCACCAATAGTTCTCAGGTGTTTATTAATATTCCATGGACTAGAAGATATACCTCACATTCCTAAAATTTCACTGTACATCCATAGTTTAATTTTAAGTCCTGCTAATTGAAGTATCTGTTACTTGTTGTTAGTACATTGCTAAAAATAATATTCCTTGCTAAACAATTCTCATAGAGGTTGTCAGATCTTTTATGGTAATTCTTAGCAAGCTATTTTCTGTCTTCTTAGCCAACTCCTAAAGCACTTCGGGAGTTTGGCTCAGAGGCAATTATGAGCCTTATAAAATGTCTAAACCCCCAGATTAATAGATACTAAAACCGGGGGGAACCATTCTGATGATGCAGTCGGACTTCCTGCACAATGCAGGCTGAAGAATTAAATCTAATAATTCCTGCATCAGACTCTCAATTTCTGGGTTAACTAGAACACATCTTTTAGAAAGGCCTTAAATCTTGATCTAAAGATTTCAGGTGCTAGAGATTCTATCACATATATATTCATAGAGAAGAGAACATTATTGCTTTCATTCTTGATGGAATACTTGTTTTATATGGAATACTTGCCCTGACTTTTAGAATTTTTTTAAATTGTATTTTCTTACCATACATGTCCTGGCAGAAGTCATAGCCAGCCTGGCCAAGATCATTCAATTATGTTATATTATATGCACACACATGTTCACTCTGTAAGAATTCCACCTAGGTAACAGAATAGATTAACTAGTACAAATTAAAACATTTTAAATTTTGGTGTGTAACATGTTTCTGTACCTTTTTATGTCTGTCTGTACTGAGAACCTTCACCCCTTTCTTCAGGAGACTTCTCTAAAGAACAGAGCATAAGATTTTTCTTTCTTTACTGAGTCCATTGCAAAACCTATTCCCCGCCTTTTTTTCCTAACTGTAATTGAAATTCTTGCTTTGTCCAGAATACTGATCCCCAATCATACTCTGATGAAACCCAGATCACTTCACCTTGTGCAGTTCTCCTTTTAACCTTCTTTGTTTCCTGTTGATGCTGCATCTTCTCATTTTAACTTCAGCAGCTTTACTTCTCTCTTTGTTCTTCAGTGAGTTGCTATTTCCCATTGAAAGCACTTCTTGTTTCAAATAACTTCATCCCTAGTGTAGAGCTTGTAATTGAAAATCATAAAACTCTAAGGGACAAAGTCAGGCCTGGTGCAAACAGGTGCAATTCCCTTGACCTCAATGAAGATGCATCCACTCCCAAACTGTCTGAATTTGGTGCTAACATTTTATCAGTCAATCACGTCTCTGCATTAGCTGATCATTCCTAAACATCCTTGGGGGAAGAAAATATTCTCCAATATAATACAATAACTCTTTTATGTCAGTGCTTTATTTTACACTTTTATATATTACACTTAGATATTAACCTTTAGCACACTTATTTGTAATATAAATTGCCTGCCTCCGTCTGTTTTCTTTCTGTAATCTTATAAATCAGAACTAGAACGGGTCCTAAAATCCCTTAGCATATAAATACAAGCAACCTCAAAGTTTATACAAATCCACATTTGTGTGCATGCTATTGAAATAAATTGATACAAATTTTAATATCATGCTATAGATAATATATAAGGCAATATTTTTACAGCAGTTTCTATCATCATGCAAGAAGAAAATGTATTTGTTATTTTGAGTACTAATTCATAATCACCTTTATTTTTCAGTGGCACACACAAGGAAAATGTTAAAATTAATTAGACTCCTATAATGGCACTGTAGTTTGCCATAGAACACAATACATTAACTAAATGTACACTAACCTTTTGAACCATCTTCTTCAACTTATACATGTAAGATAGTATTTAAGAAGTTTTATGACAAATTGCCATACATTCAGATATTTCTTACACAGGAAAAGTCTTGGCTTTTGTATTTATGATGCATAATTCAAGTCCAATTTAAAATTATGTTCTACTGCAGTAAATTATAGGTTTCAGAGTAGCAGCCGTGTTAGTCTGTATTCGCAAAAAGAAAAGGAGTACTTGTGGCACCTTAGAGACTAACCAATTTATTTGAGCATAAGCTTTCATGAGCTACAGCTCACTTCATCACATGCATTCAGCCATCCTCCTTTTCTTTTTGCAGTAAATTATGGCATTCTTGCAAACCCTTTGTCTTATTTTTACATGACAGGTATGTTACATCCATGTATAACACATAAATGCTATTAAAATATAATTAGTATTTTGCTCAACTATTACATACTCGTTGAAATGCATATTGTGGCTGATATTAAAATTTATACAATATTAGCTGTAATCCTCTGAACGTGTGTGACCTTGGTATGCCAGTGCCTACTTTTACAAATAATACAGAAACGTGACCATTTTTTTCCCAGCTCTGATTTAGAATCCCATTCTATAGTTGTTATGTTAGCAAAACTCCCATTGTATGTCACTTATCAGGGACTGGATTCTGCTTCCTTTGAAATAAATAGAAACTCCCATTTACTTCAGTGGCCACAGGATTGGGTCTTTCATGTATACTTTACAAAACGATTTATTTTAAAGTTTGTTCAGGTCATTCACAATATAAACATTTAAACCTAATTTATATATGTTTAAATGAATCATTTTACTATAACTGAGTGTGTATTATGATACTCGGTCATTCAAGATGTTGAACCTTCTAGCCCTGACCCAATAAAATACTTAAGAACATACATAACGCTACACATGTACGTAGTTGCATTGACTTCCAAAAGAATACTCCTGTGCCTAAAATTAAACAAGCACTTAAATGCTTTTCTACAACAGGTCTAGGGCATTCTGCGCCTTGTAGGACTGAACCCATAATGAGCAGGTAGCCCTTGATCTTGCATTTGATTGCGTGTGGGTGCAGTCTGGCACCTGTGCTATGCAGGATCAACTAGTTGCAAGAGCAGGATGCAAGTAAATACACATAACACTTCTGCCCACCCTTGCAAAACCTGATCCTGTATTTATTTTACACACAAAACTCCCCTTGCAGTATATAGCAGTTCTGATTGCATAAAAAAACTGGATCCCTGAACCTGCAAAGACTTGTACACATACTTAACTTTTCACATTTAGTAGTGCCATTGACTTTAGTGGGACTATTCACACTGTGTAAAGTTAAGCATGTGTGTAAGTCTTTGCAGGAATGGGTCCTATGATTGGGATCATGATGACCTCTGCTACAAGGATGTTAGTTTTATAAAGACATCCACATATTAAGTAGCAGTGACATGCAAATATTTGGCTCTGTGTCTTCCAGAAGAGCTTGGTCCACCTCTTATTAGTTCACCAGTTCTCAAACTGTGGGTTGGGACCCCAAAGTGGGTCAGGACCCCATTTTAATGGGGTCACCTGGGACAGCATTAGACTCGTTGGGACCCAGGGCTGAAGCCAAAGCTTGAGTCCTTTAGCCTGGGGCAGCAGGACTCGGCTTTGCAGTTCCCCCCTACCCCCCAGGGTCACATAGTAATTTTTGTTGTCAGAAGGTGGTCTCAGTGCAATGAAGTTTGAGAATCCCTGTTTTAGTCACACTAAACTCACATACTTTCATGTGAGTTTTGCTTGAATAAGCTGAATTGGGCCTTTAGCAGTACCAGATGAAGAGATATTTCTACTTTATGCTTTTCACCAGATGAGCCACAATCCCTGCAAAGTGGTAAACTTCATTACTCTGTTCATATCTAATACTGATGTTCTTATGCAGCTTGTATGCATGCAAGATCCCACGGAATTCAGGATTAAAAGCTGTGTAGTGTCCTTAAGATTTGGCTCACTGTTTTTTGTGTTTAAGATTTGCGGTGAGATGTACATCTTGTGTTCTGGATGAAAAGCAGAGAACTCACAAATAGTATGAGACAAATGAAACAATTTTAAGATAAATTTTTATTGAAAAATTTAAATTGCATTGCTTATCATTTTTATAATTTCACAGTTCTTTTAGCCACGAAACACAGAGATTCTGTTTAAAAAAATCTCTTATTTGTCACCATTCAAAAACCATGTTGTGCCCTGAATAAATGATGATTTTAAAATTCTGGGCTATTCTCCAGAACCCTGGTTCTGCCTGTCTGCCATGGATGGTAGAATCTTCTTGTGTTCTCCAGAAACGGGTTCTAACAACTGAAACTGGAACTTTTCCTACTTAAAATCAACAGCTGCTTTGGCCAGTGATTATCCTTTTCCAAATCTAATACATCAGCTAGTAAACACTGAAGCAACAATTTCCAGTTTGGCATCTTCCCTCTATTTGGCATTTGTCAAGGTACTTTGAATTCACCCATCTTAATAGTACAGCACTTGTCAGTAAGATTTTAAAGAAGAAATCACAACCTCAGAGTTTCCTCGTTATATCAGGAAAATTGAGTTACTCATCTATAATTGTATTTCTTGGAATGAGTCACCTCGTCCATGGCTTCACACTATCTGATCTTCCCCACATATTGCTGTGTGGATTTAAGAACAAGATAGTTCCAAAGAGGTCTTTGTTTGAGAAGCCGTTAGAATATTACTCAGATGAAGATTGCCTACTGGAAGGGAAATAGAGAGAATTTGTCTCATTGATGACCATGGCAATCCCCTAAATAAGGCTCTGTTAAATCAGCTATCTGAGTTGGGGTAAACAAGGACCCTGTGCTGGTGGTGATAGGCAGTCATTACTGATAAATATCCTAATGGCCGACACCAATCACCAGAAGACACCAGAAACTGGTTGTGGGCATCATTTGCCACAAAACTAAGATACAGTGATACCAGAAAGGAAAAATCCCATACATCAGGTATGAAGATAAACTTAACTCTCATGGCTGCAAGAACCACCTCAAAGATAAACTACATGATTCTGTGATATGCAGCAGGATCTACATTATTAAATGTCTCTTCTAGATGCAAGCGATCATTTGCAGTAGCTAGAGCAGTCTGGTGGTTCTGATCTGACAAAAGCAAGACACTGTGCCAAATGGAAGAGGAGCCATTTGTAATCAAATTACCGTTTGCACACTACTCAGGAGAATGAGATTCTGTTCCCAGCCAGTACCATTCAGGACTTGCTGCATGACCTTGGACAAGTCACAAGTCTTTGTCCTTTTCCAGTCTGCAAAATGGGGATCCTGTTATTTAGCTTCCACACATGTTTCTAAAGTATATAGAGTTCTTCAAATATTATTGTTATAAAATGGTGATAATCTGGAGACTAGGGCCGGAAAGTTAAGCTTTTAAAGTTAGAGTGTAAAGTATGAAGACTGCATCTTACCTCTCCAGTGGTACTGTCACTGAGACTCCCTGAGTGAGGGAATGAAGGGGGGGTCATAAACTCTAAACTAAAAATTGGTCAAAGAAACCACAAGAGGCTGTTGCTGATGTATGTGGAAGAAGTAGACTCCCCTTTCAAGGGTGGTCAGATGTCTTGGCAATGACTATCATAGGTCATAATGTTTTTCATACACTGTGAAGAGTAGAGAGATGCTGCAATCTTTTGTAGCAGGTATTTGAATAAAGTGAACTATTCAGAGGGGAAAAAAATCTCATCCATAAGTTTATGCTTCAAAAATGAAACCAGCCTTTTCCTTTCTAAGAAAGGAGTTCCTTTCTGGGCACCTGAGAACAGCCTTGTGAGTAGGAGAACTCTGACATTTAATGAGAAATGGCCTGCATCTAGAGAGAATGGCATTTGATTTTAAAAGGATGAAGCCAGAACCAACACTGATGCTGACAATATCCATGGTAGCAGGATTCAGACCTTATATCATTGACTTTTATACCAAAGGTGCTAGCATCAAAGAAGGGAAGATGTCAGGAATATTTATTCTGGAAGATCAAAATTCAAGAGTGTAGAAGCATGGCCCACTGCAACTATCTGCACCAGCTGCGTGAAGCAAAAACATTGCCCTAAGGAGATGGGACTACTGTGCTAGTGGGATTACTGGGTGGCTTCATAGTCATAAGATTTTGAGGTGGATAGTATGGATCATCTTCTGTATGTCACTGTTAGGAGGCAAAAAGAGAGCCACAGGAGTGAAACAAGCCCTGAACTTAGCTCCAATAAGCAATAAGGTCATAACAAAATTGATTTAAAGAAAAAACTTGTACAGAGGGTAAGGGAGGAGACAGGTATACTGGGTCTCTAGGAAAAGACAGAGAAAACAGTGCTTGGGAATGACTAGCCACCCAAAAATCATCTCCTTAAATTTTGGAAGAATCCTGGTGACAAAACTAAGCATGGAGTGCTTATACATCAGCATTAGAACCTCTGGACCAAGTTAGATTGGGCCCACCAACATTAGACTCTTGAAATGGGTTTCTCAATTTTTCCATGTCACCACAGAATGTCAAAATGCCCCAGGCTTTCCTGGCTATATGAGACAGGTTAGACATGGTGTTTTGAATATCCAACTGGTATTTATTCCAAAGACCATGGGTGAGACTCTGTGCTGTGCACAGCATAGAATTTGCAGCCCAAGGGGTCCATGGTCACCTTTGCGCCTTCCCAATCCTGGGCTGCTCCAGGGGCTGGAAAGACCGGCAGGGGAGACTGTGTAAATGATGGCTGACTCCCTGGATTGTCCTATGAGCTGCAGTGATGTCTGGAATTTCCTTAGTGCTGTGTGATGTGGCCCTGCCCCTGGCACTCCTCTCTTCCCCAGCCCTGCCTCCAGCATGCCTACTAAGCCAACCTTACATATGTCTTCTGCATTGCCTATACTAAGGGAATCCTCTTCTGGCTACAGCCAAGGCTTTTAGGGCCCCTTCATGCTACTGCAGCCCGTTAACATGGCATAAAGAAGGGCGGCGAGGTGGTGAGTCTCTCACTCCCTCTAAATAAATGAAAAAGCAACACAAAGGGTGAGGGACTTTTTGGACAGAGTATTGCTGTAGTTTTAAATCAAAATGTGTCTCTTTACACTCCTTTAATAGAATGTTTCTAATACAATTAAATTTTATTTCAGAGCTGAAAGAAAAGTAGCTTATTACAGACTTTCCTGTGCAATAGCCATAGCTGCATATTTTGAAAAGATTTTGAATCAGCATATTTCAGTTATCATCACAATAGTCATTCTGTAGACAGAGGACTATTGAGCCTTTATTTGACTCCACTACTTCGCTGGTCTGCCAATACAAAACCATGTACTTTGTAGATCTGGTTACCTAGCTAGTTAAAAACTGAATGGGCTGCGGATGGCTCTGGTGTCTATATTTTGAAACGTCTGATCAGTTAAAATTATGGTGACAAGCCAGCTGTATTTAAACATTCTGTGGTGAGTTTTTCTTTTCCTCTCCTGTGAACTCCAAAATACATAGTGAATTCCCCTTCTGCAAAACATTACTAAACCTGGTTAACACTCTCACAGATTTGGTACAGATTTTCTTCAGGAATCTTGCCACAGAATTTAGCTAAACTAGTCACAGAGATTGGTCCTGAACTACAACAGAAGTACAGGGGCCTTGGTTATTATCCAATATTCACTAGAAAAGCATTCAGAACACTGGACGTACAGGCAGACATAACAATTAATAAAGGTGAAGAGTCATAGAATCATAGAATATCAGGGTTGGAAGGACCTCAGGAGTCTATTAAAGTAACGGGATTTAATTATACTAGTGTCTATATACAATGTTAGAATTCCTAATGATCAGTAAAATTATCTGTAAGTTGTTATTTTAAGGGTACTATTATTTAAATGAAAGTGTCAACTAATATTTTTATTGTCTCTTTGGCTCACAAATGCACTAAAATACCATAAACATCATTTAGAACTTCAATAATATATAAATAGGATACATTACAAATGGAAGAAAATACAAGACAACTCTTTAGCATGGTAAATCTCTGCATATAAATAAGCAAATATTTCATATACTTAGAATTGAACAGTTATCTTGCTGTAAAACTGTTACATTTAAATCCTTTTCACAAAGTCATTTAACAATAATATACACAATCTACACAAATTAATCTCTAAAAATACATCAATAATATACCTGTTACAATGACTCTGCTACTATTATCCCCTGATATGACACTAAACGGGAGATACAACTATCTTACTGGGCGGTGCTTTTAGGATCCATTGTTTTTATATGTGAGAGAAGCACCAACAATAAGGTTTAATACTGTTAAACATTTTTCTTAGCTCCTAAGAGTCTACATTTTTTAAAATGTTTCTTTACAGCAATTTGCATCTGTTAGAATGATCTGCCGCACATTGTCCACATCATTAACTGTTGAAAGAAAAGTTAGTTCTCTTAAAGTGGAAAACATGCTGTGGCTTAGTTCTAAATTCATTAATATATATATATATATATATATATATATATATACTGTACATAGTTCTTAATTCTCTATTTTAATACTTATTAGTTTCCTGCTATAATATAATAAACAGACTAAAATAAGGATCAATAATACACTTCAAGATAATATATTCTCCTTCATTAAAATGACCTACCAATACATATATGTTTCAGTAACTCATAGGTGCTGGAACTAGGGGTACTGGGGTGGGTGTGTGAGCTACTGCACCCCCGGCTTGAAATGGTTTCCATCATATACTGGGTTTACAGTTAGGTTCAATGGCTCTCAGCACCCCCACTGTACAAGTTGTTCCAGCACCTCTGCAGTAACCTACAGATTTTTTTGTGTTAAGAGTTTTTTAGGAGAGTGGAACATTTAGAAAGGGAATTTCCTTAAAGGGTGTTCTGCAGAACTGGGTAAAAAATAGCCAGTGCTGGAAAACAGTGGACTACAGGAATAAATAGTTTGCCAAGAGTATTACAGATCCTGCCCCAATCTTTCTATTTCTTCAATGAGGAAGTCAATGTCAGACTTAGTTGCCGCTGGGTTTGAGACAACCATTCGGAAGAAGTTGACTTTATCTCCCTGTGGCTGATATCCAACCATTGTGGTACCTGACTCCATCATCAGAGCTTTGATTTTGGGTGCCACCTTTATAATTAAAACAAAACAGGAAAGAAATTTAGAACCTTTTTCCTTTTATTAGTCACCGTATTTCTTAATTTAGAAAAGAGAGCAATTACACCAGAGATAGATGTTTACATAAAATGTCTGTAGAAAGAAAATGCCTGATTACATATAAGTTATATGTAAATTAGATGTTCAAAATTCTTCCATACTTAATACTCTAAGATGTTATGATTAGCAATGATGTCAACCTAAAAACCATCGCTTATGCAAACAGTATTCCTTATTAAGCTACTAATAACATCTTAGAGTACTGGAAGAATTTACAAATCTTAATTTACATGTCACTATTTATTCCTCTGATTAATTATTGGAATTCTTATAGTTTGGACAATGAAAAGTAACAAAGCCAATTTCATTCTGGTTTATAGTCTCATTTTCAACTTCTTAATGCTTCAGTATTTGGATAACAAACACTGAAAGTGCATCGTTAACGTTTAAAACGGGTCAGGAAAAGAATTCAGTGGAAAATTTTAACAAACATGAAATTTTTTTTGTCTTTGTAGGAATTTTCAGTGGAAAATTTGGACTTTTTATCAAAAAACAAGGAAAGGAGACACTTTCCATTAACATTTTTGTTTACTCAGAAAATGTTTCTGTCAAAAATTTTGATGGAAAATTTTCAACCAGTCCTACTGTATAAAGAAAACTTTCTACTGGTATTTTTTTTTTTAAATCATGAAAACATTTGGATTGATTTTACAGCACCATGCAGTTATTACAATTATCTTCTTTATTTTCACTTTCAAAGAAAAAATTCCATCAAAGTCTTAACCGTTGCACGATATCTGTCACTAAAGAGCAGAGCACCTTGTCTTTCCTTGTCTAATTATGGGCCAGATTCTGCCACCCTTGCTCATCTTGAATAGTACTCCACATGAATAAGGGTGACACAATTTAGTCTTGTGAAATCAGGGGTCTATCTAAGAAGACTCAGTAGAGTACACAGGCAAGTAAAATGATGATTCCCAGAACTACTTCATCTCTGACCTAGCCATTCAGTGTCTATCTCCGGGGGCCATTTGACACTTTTTCCTTGATGTCTCATAATGTCCCATCACCAGCTCACTCTTAACACGAGCGAGCTGGTCAAATCAAACACTTCATCTTTCTTCACAGACTTTTCCCTCTCCCTCTCTTTTCTGTCACTCTTGGCAATTCCATTAGTCATCTTGTCCCATAGGTTCACACAAGTAATTTTAATTCCTCTCTGTCCTTCTTTCCCCACAATGATCCAGCCACAAAATCCTGCTGGTTCTTCCTCTACAATATCCCCAGTCTGCCCTCTTCTTTCTATTCTCACCACAAAAAACTCTTGGTCAGGGCCTGATTATTTCATCTTAACAACTGTAATCTCTTTTTGTCTCTTGTATTCTTAACCTCACCCCAATCTTAACTATCCAAAATGCTGCCACCAAAAAATATACTTTAGAAGAACTGGATATGTTCCATGTCTGATTTCAAAAAGAGAAATATAACTTCAGCCCCAATAAGAACAGGAGAGGAAGTGTCAAGGTCCAGAGGCCAGTCAATAACATGGAACTCTGGGGTAGAGCTGGTCTGGAATTTTCCAGTGAAATAGGTTTGGAAAATGCTGATTTGTTGTACCCAAAGTGTTTCATAGCAATGTATGGGGTTCAACAAACTGACTAACCACCTGCCTGGGTTCCTGCCAGCTCAGTTCAGAGGCAGTCCCACCATGGAGACTGTTCCTGGATCCCAGAGATTCCAGGCTCCTAGTCCCAATGGCTCTCTGGGCTGTTGATTCCCCAGGCTGCAGGAATTGGGCAGCCCAGGGAGCTAGCTAGCCTAGGAGTCTAGAAGCCCTGAGGTTCCTGGCCCTAGACAGTCTGCATGGTGTGGCTGCCCAAAGACACAGACCCTTGAAAATCTGACAGCTGTGGACTGAAAGGGACATTATTCTTGTCACTTTCACTTCCACCCATCACTGAAAAGCAGCTGTGAAAATGACAAGAATCATGACAATCTCAGTGAGCAGTTGCCAGGGTCCTGCGGGAAATATTTTTGGAAATACCATGTGTTGGCATTTCCAGAACAATGATTTTACGGAATTCCCCTTTCCCCTGCTAAACAGAAATCCCAAATTTCCATCAGCTCTGTTTTGGAAACCTGGCTCAGAATAAGACTCATCAATCAGCACATGCAGAGATATGTTATTTTAGATAAATGGAACCCTTTGGCTTAGAAATGAAACAATATATTATACAATTAATGTGAGCCGCATACCCTGTGTAGCTTTTCTCTTCTCTCCTCAGAGTCTGGTATACCCCTGAGACTCTGAGGAATGTACCAGAAACATACATTTGTGTGTTCAGGCTGAAAAAAGAAAAAACAAACACGTAAGTGAATAAACATAAGAAGAAAATATAGATCGCCCACACCAATCTCCTGAAGGACAATAAATTGTTATTGAATATTTTATTACAGAAGTGGAGTCCATACATTTTATTAAGACTGTTAGTTCTATATATTAAGAAACAATAAATTCTGTGTAATATTGCTACTTCAGTGTACTTGCAGCCGCCATCTTGGATTCACTATGCATTGTCCCTTTTACAGTATTCTAGAGTGCTGATGAAGTACGAACATTGTTCAACACTTATGTAATTTTAAGAGGATGTCCCTTCCAAGATTCCAGTGCCAGACAGCCCCCAGTCGTATTCAGTGACATCCTACACAGATGGGTCTGTCTTTTGGTAACTGATTTTCCTCCTCTTAGTAAGTGAAGAGACAAAGTATGTATCAACCAAGACTTTATACAGAGGCACCAGCAGCAGAGGAGGTAGAAGCTTTCAGAGAACCAGGAGTGACAACCTCAGGAATGTCTGCGTGAATAGGCTGTATTAAGGCCATCTTCATACCCTAATCTGAAAAACCAAACCAGTTCCTCTGCACTACATTCTTATGGGAGTCTGGCTTTTTGCTGATAAAGTATTCAGCTTGTGGTCCAATACAGTCCTTTAAGGTGAAAAGAAAAGAAAAGAAAAGAAAAGAAAACGAGGGGAGGAATCCCTGTGTTCATAATTGAAATCCATACAGAAGTTCAGTATGTGTCTGGATAAAAGTCTGCCCAGATGTCAGTGGCCAGGTTGTTCTTTTTCATACGTAACTATGAGCTCTTGAGAAACCTATAGAAATTTCAAGATTGCTCCAAGAAATGTACACAGACTTGGTTTCCAGATGTCAGGTTACATGAAAAATATTTTTGGTCTATGTAATGACTTACCTCTCCATCAAAAACCATCTCAAATTCTTCCCTGTTTTTAATTTTAGTATAGAGGTATTCTGACAATTCCAGACATTTGTTGATCTGATTTTCAAATCCTACTGTACCCTATTTTAAAAAGAAAATGTTTTATTAGTTAAAAAAGTTTCCCCTCTTTTCTTTTACCATCTGGTCATCTCTAGTAATTAGGTTTGGACAGAAAATAAAATATGTAACAGGATTATCATTTTGCAAGTTAAAGGATGACCACAGAAATAAATAATCATAGAATCATAGAATATCAGGGTTGGAAGGGACCCCAGAAGGTCATCTAGTCCAACCCCCTGCTCAAAGCAGGACCAATTCCCAGTTAAATCATCCCAGCCAGGGCTTTGTCAAGCCTGACCTTAAAAACCTCTAAGGAAGGAGATTCTACCACCTCCCTAGGTAACGCATTCCAGTGTTTCACCACCCTCTTAGTGAAAAAGTTTTTCCTAATATCCAATCTAAACCTCCCCCACTGCAACTTGAGACCATTACTCCTCGTTCTGTCATCTGCTACCATTGAGAACAGTCTAGAGCCATCCTCTTTGGAACCCCCTTTCAGGTAGTTGAAAGCAGCTATCAAATCCCCCCTCATTCTTCTCTTCTGCAGGCTAAACAATCCCAGCTCCCTCAGCCTCTCCTCATAAGTCATGTGTTCTAGACCCCTAATCATTTTTGTTGCCCTTCGCTGGACTCTCTCCAATTTATCCACATCCTTCTTGTAGTGTGGGGCCCAAAACTGGACACAGTACTCCAGATGAGGCCTCACCAATGTCGAATAGAGGGGAACGATCACATCCCTCGATCTGCTCGCTATGCCCCTACTTATACATCCCAAAATGCCATTGGCCTTCTTGGCAACAAGGGCACACTGCTGACTCATATCCAGCTTCTCGTCCACTGTCACCCCTAGGTCCTTTTCCGCAGAACTGCTGCCTAGCCATTCGGTCCCTAGTCTGTAGCTGTGCATTGGGTTCTTCCGTCCTAAGTGCAGGACCCTGCACTTATCCTTATTGAACCTCATCAGATTTCTTTTGGCCCAATCCTCCAATTTGTCTAGGTCTTTCTGTATCCTATCCCTCCCCTCCAGCGTATCTACCACTCCTCCCAGTTTAGTATCATCCGCAATAATAATACTAAAATAATACTTTTAGTGCAACTTATTTTGTAAATAGTGAAATTCACATGGTTAAATGTGACCTACAAAAGAATTACTATTTTGTTTGTGCACTATTTTGTTTTTAAAAGAACTTTATTTATGGTGATAAATAAAAATAAATAAATAAATAAATAAATAGAGGTCTTTTTAAATTTTTAAAGAAGATTAATTTTTCAGGGTTTTTTTTTTTTGCCTTCAAAATATCAGGAATATTAAATCTTGGCTCCTCTGTTTTTGCTGGAGGACTAGAGCATTGGGGACAGTTTTAAATCTTTTCTCCCAGCTGTTTGTCAGGAATTTGCATTAAGAAAAGCAAGCTAGAAAGCAAATAAAGAGTTTTAAATAGTTTGACTGAAAATCCCTTTCCCCACTCCGTTGCTCAATTTTCCAGCTGGTCTTTTGTAATGTCATAATCCCACCCATTCTCCAGTCCTCCAAACAAACAAACAAACAAACAAACAAACAAATAAAAACAACCCTGGAAAAATAAAGCTTTAAAAAAATCCAGACCACCCTTGTGCTTCATTGAAAAGGTAAATAAGGGCATGTACACATTTTTTCCCCCTCTTGCAGGTCACCTTTCAGCACCAGTGAAGCCGTTAATGCCACCCTCATTATGCATTTGTGGTGCAGGTTCTCTACACTGGGATAAAATTCACACTGAAAGAATATTTGCAAGATGATTCAAGGGCTTAAATAAATATCGCATTAAACCCACTGTCTATTTTGGAGGCAAATTTGTGCTCATTTTTGGCAGCTGTTAATGCCGGAAGAAAAACCTCCACAGCTTCCAATGTCTCATTTTCCCAAAAAATGACCCAAAGGCAGTTGTTGCAATATAACATCCAATTTACTAGAAGTGGGTCCAACCCAAAACCTCAGAGCTGAAAGCTTTGAGAAAGTCTGCCTCTATAAAAGGCCCAGACCAAAATGCTGACTTTGAGCGCCTCAATTTTTGCAGAAATTTGAATTTCTTCAGTTGAATTTTGTGGTGTGGTCTGGGGACTACAATTTGTTTTAATAAAGTATCACAAACATCCTACTCCACTTCTGAAGTGCAAAGATGGCCGTATCCAGGGGTGAAAGTAAGTTAGAGGACTTATCGGTACACAGGAGTCCTGAGCAGGGGGCGCGGCCCCAACCGGAAGAGGCAGAGCCTTAAATCCCCAGGGCTCGGGGGCGATTTAAAGGGCCCGGGATTCAGCTGCTGCTACCACAGCGGAGCCCTGGGCCCTTTAAATCCCTGAGGAGCCCTGGAGGCTCCCGGCTGCTACCAAGCTTTAAAGGGCCTGGGGCTCTGCTGTGGGGATTTAAAGGGCCCTGGGGCTCCAGCCACCGCTACCCCAGGCCTTCAGCAGCAGGGCTCCAGCGGGGATTTAAAGGGCTGGGGCAGTAGCGGTGGCTGGAGCTCCGGGGCTCTTTAAATCCCCGCCAGAGCCCCCCACCCCTACCCCAGGGCTCGGGTAGCAGGGCTCAGGCAGGGATTTAAAGGGCTTGGGGCTCCAGCCACCGCTACCGCCCCGGCCCTTTAAATCCCCTCTGGAGCCCCGCCACCGCTACCCCAGGGCTTCGGCAGCAGGGCTCAGGCAGGGATTTAAAGGGCCCCAGGAGGGTAGCGGGGGCTGGAGCCCCAAGCCCTTTAAATCCTCACCTGAGCCCTGCTGCCCAAGCCCTGGGATAGGGGTGGGGGGCTCTGGCAGGGATTTAAAGAGACCTGGAGCTCCAGCCACTGCTACTGCCCCGGCCCTTTAATTCCCCGCCAGAGCCCTGCCGCCGCTACCCCTGGGCTCGGGCAGCAGGGCTCAGGCCGGGATTTAAAGGGCCCTGGGGCAGTAGCTGGAGCTCCGGGGCCCTTTAAATCCCCGCCGCAGCCCCGCTGCTGCTACCCCAGGGCTTTAAATTGCCCTTTCGGAAAGCCGGTCCTGGTACGGCGCACCGGCTCTTACCGGTACGCCGTACTGGGGCGTACCGGCTTAATTTCACCTCTGGCCATATCACATTATTGCTTAGATGTAAGCTTGTTGGGGCTGATGACTCTTTATGTTCTTGTACAGCACCTATTACATTGGGTTTCTGTTCCATGACTGGGACTCCTAGGCACTAAAAAATGCAAATAATAAATAGTAATAATATTAAACACAACAGTCTTCCTCCTATTCTCCCTCTCTGCACCATTGACTGGCAGTCAAATTCTTCACACACCACACTGGTGCTCTAGCCTCTCTTTGATAAGCAGGGGAGGATTTTGCACTTCACACCTGTTCTATATTCATGCTTGATTTTGGTGTGCTAAATGGCTCTCAACCATGGGTGTCCGGTGAACTGGAGGTTGGGGAGGCTAGCCCCCGGCCGCTCCCCTTCTGCCCGAGGCCCCGCCCCTCCCCTCTCCCATAATGCGCCCCTCCCCTGCAGGAGCTCAGAGCACCCCCATTGCAGCCCCCGGCCCCAGCCCTGGGCCACCCAAGTGCCCCCAGTCCTGGAGGGCCCAGCGGCACAGCAGCAGTGCCTCCAGCCCTGGAATGCCAGGCGGCATGGTCTCAGTGGCCCTGCCCCAGAACACCAGGCAGCCAGGAGGTGCGGTCCGAGCTCCAGGTGGGTGGCGCACCCCTGACCCCAGTGCCAGCTGCCCCGAGTCCCAGTGGCAGGCCATTCCGTCCCAGCCCCAGCCAGCCTGGGCCATGGAAGAGCGCCAGAAACTGCAGGATGGGGTCTGGGGGCAGAGTCTGGGTGAAGCCATGCCAGGCTGTTTGGGGACGCACAGTCTCCCCTGGCCTATGATACCTGCTTGCCCATGCTCTCAGCCACAAAAGAGAATGTTTGTAGTGAGGTTAGCTGCCAAGAGAGGGCCACAGTGTGGACTGCTGATTTTGTTGAAGAAAGCCAAAGGCAATAAAACACATGCTAGACTGATTTTTAGAAGGCCAACTGATCTATGGGTGACTCAGGGTTGACAGGGTTCTGTAGTCAGTAAATGGTGATTAGTACTATACATATAATATTTTCAAGTTATGGGTCACAGTCCAATTTTAATGAATCGTAGGTGGATTTATGCCCTGGGCCTGCAGCCCCAAAAGGATTTGATTTGGAGAAAGGAACTGGTACTCAGTGTATTCAGAACTACCACCAAATCTGTGTTGGATACCACAGTAACTGGAAAAATGAACACAAGAAAAGATAATTTAGGATGTTCCAATAATTCTTCATGCTTTTGCAAATCTGAATGTTAATATTTTGTTCAGTTGTATTTCCTTTGCTGCAGTATTTTTAAAGACACTCTGATGACTCAGAGAAAACTTTGAAAAAATATTTTGTTTAAAAAACAAAAATAGAGATGCATACTTGTTATTTGATTCCCTCATTTTTTAATATTAAAGAAATTTATAGTAAAAATGAGCTTTTATTCATCAGAGGTTATGTGCTGCTTAATCCTCCTCTGAAGCCAAAATTCTCTTTATATGACTTTAGAGTGTGCCATAGCAATAATTATCATTTAATAAAGGATTAGATTGTGGCCACCTTATCAACTGAATCACGCATTTGGGTAATTTTGCCTGACTGAGTGCTACAGGAATGGCCACAGAGTATCACAATTTCATGTAGCGAAATAGAGAGCAAGAAAGTAGTAGTATTAACAGGAAGAAATGTGTTTACCTGCAAATTTGGGCCCCGATCCCACAAATACTTATGCATGTGCTCAACATTAGTCACATGAGAAGCCACATTGACTTCAATGTTATTAATGTTAAGCATGAGCCTAAGTGTTTGCTGTCTCAGGGCCTTGGGAACCAATCCTGCTGTCCTTTGTCAGGCAAAGCTCTTCACAGAACCAAACTTTGTTTTCTAAGTTTTCCATAAAGTCCAAACAAATCTTCTAAAGAAACAACATAGGTATTTTCTCTATTATATACATACAAATTAAATATATTTCTGAGTCATTTTAATTGGACATTTATTGTTTACCTTAGCTTTCCACATCAACCAGAATTTGAAAATGTCCACATGACGACCACATTGTATTGCTTTATCTCCAGTGTCATAGGATATATCATATTGTTTATCTTGCTGGAACAGATATCCGGCACACATCTGATTGCAACCCTGAAGTAGACCCTATGATGAAAAAGCGAATATGTATAACACATATGTAATATATCCATTGAATATATACAAACATACATATATTGTAGAAAAATTGTACTTTTAGGGACCAAATTTTCAGATACTGACCTGATTTTGAGGGCACAAGCTGTAGACACAATTTTGTGCTCTCAAGCTGATCATTTAGATGTCTAAGTTCCTGATTATTCAAGCGATGAAGTTGCATGCATATCACACTGAGACATTTTTATCTCTGTGTGATATGCATGTAATAAGTTTTAACAATACTTAAAAAAAATATTACTGAAAATGCCAGGCTAAATGTATTTGAATTCTTAGTATTCCAAACAAATGTTTCCTGCCTTATACTCCTGGATTCTAGAATATGAGACTACTGTTTCTTAGAAAATAAGACTTTTCGGAGAATCATAAAATACTAGGGTTGGAAGAGACCTCAGGAGGTCATCTAGTCCAATCCCCTGCTCAAAGCAGGATCAACACCCACTAAATCATCCCAGGCAGGGCTTTGTCAAGCCAGGCCTTAAAAACTCTGAGGATGGAGATTCCACCACCTTCCTAAGTAACCCATTCCAGTGCTTCACCACCATCCTAGTGAAACAGTGTTTCCTAATATCCAACCTAGACCTCCCACACCGCAACTTGACACCGTTGTTCCTTGTTCGGTCATCTGCCACCACTGAGAACAGCCAAGCTCTATCCTCTTTGGAACTCCCCTTCAGGTAGTTGAAGGCTGCTATCAAATCTCCCCTCACTCTTCTCTTCTGTAGACTAAATAACCCCAGTTCCCTCAGTCTCTCCTCGTAAATCATGTGCCCAAGTCCCAAGTCCCCTAATCATTTTTGTTGCCCTCCACTGGACTCTCTCCAATTTGTCCACATCCCTTCTGTAGTGGGGGGACCAAAACTGGACAGAATACTCCAGGTGTGGCCTCACCAGTGCCGAATAGAGGGGAATAATCACTTCCCTCGATCTGCTGGTAATGCTCCTACTAATACAGCCCAACATGCCATTGGCCTTCTTGGCAACAAGGGCACCCTGCTGACTCACATCCAGCTTCTTATCCACTGTAATGCCCAGGTTCTTTTCTGCAGAACTGCTGCTTAGCCAGTCAGTCCCTAGCCTGTAGCAGTGCATGGGATTCTTCCTTCCTAAGTGCAGGACTCTGCACTTGTCCTTGTTGAACCACATCAGATTTCTTTTGGCCCAATCCTCCGATTTGTCTAGGTCACTCTGCAACCTATCCATATCTACCTCTCCCCGCAGCTTAGTGTCATCTGTGAACTTGCTGAGGTGCAATTAATCACATCATCCAGATAATTAGTGAGAGTTGATTGGTTGAGAGTTAATTTTTCATTGTCATTTTCTTTGTTGTTATATGTTTATACTGAACTGTGAGACTGAGTAAGCTTGCTCTGGTGCATAAATTAATTTAAAATGTGGAGGATGGCTTCAACTCCATTTAGGGCCCAGCTCTGGTACTACTAAACATCAGTAATAAGTATGAGCATAACTGGGTCCATACTAGACACATGCTGCTTTTACAATGAAAAGAAAAAGAACTGTTCCACTTCTTCACTAGCTCGATTAGTAATACTATTTTTCCTTGACTGCATACGATCTACACAGAAATATGAAGAGAAACCAAAGTTCTCATGTTCTGAGTTATCATATTAAGAATGTATACTATACTTTCATCTTTAGATCTCAAAGCACTTTACAAAGGAAGGCAATTATCCCCATTTTATGTTGGGGAAACTGAGGCACCAAGCAATGATGTGATTTGCCAAGGTCACCCAGCAGGTCATGGCATGACTAGAACTGAGGCCTTCCAAGCTCCACTCTTGTGATCTATGCAGTAGACCAGTGTTTCTTAACCTTTTTGATGCCAGGGACCAGCTTGCTGCCTTCCTAAACTGTGTCAGTGAGCTCTCAGGGACCAGTACCAGTCCATGGGACTGGTCGTTGAGAAAAGTTGCATTAGAGACTAGACCACACTGCCTCTCTAAATTACCATTTCCGAGAGTGATAGTTAGACAAGTTAATGGAAATTAGAAAGATTAAAATGTCCTGCTCATAGATGATAATGTTCACCTATTGAAAGAGAAGTATTTGGATTCTAATCCTGCTCCCACTGATGACAAAGGCAAAACTTTGAGGATCCTAAAATTGCTTCTGGAGTAGAACTAAAAGTAATGTGGCTACTTTCCAGCAAGATTTTAAACTCTTAAGCCACTTGTGCAATGCAAAATGTTTGCTGTTTATTTTTAAAGCCTAATGTTTGTCCAATTATCAAGTCACAGGGTGGATGTACAATGTTTTATAAAAACACAGGGCCAGATCCTCAGCTGGTATACATCAGCATGACTCCATTGACATCACTGAAACTATCTGAGGATCTTGCCCTGTAGTGTTTACTGTGTTAACCAAAAGCTGAAAAAGGAAAAAGTACTTCCCTCCTCCTCCAAATAAAACAAACATAAATCTACCCAACTCTTCCCGTCAGAAAGAAGCCTACAAAGAAACATACCTTGCAGCATGCCCTAAAAAACTCATGGCTCATTTCACTACTTGTTCTATTGCAAGACTATCAAACAATATAAAACAGACCTTTTCCCGAATCAGAATGGCTGAACATTGTAACAAAACTCCCATCATCTTGTGTGGATTCCATGTGACCGAATTGGCTCTGCAAAAGAATTATGCCCTCAGAGTAGATATGGAAAACAAAGATAAACTTACACCAGTGTAAAGCCAGTGTAAGTGACAACAGAATTGTCATAAACAGGTTAGCTGTTTTGCCTAATTGATGTAACTATGGAGGGTATCAGTGTCTTTGATGTCACCTTTCCCAGATGTGCTGCCTAGGAAAGCAGTTCTTCCAGAATTTATATTACTGTGTCAGACAATAGCGATTACTTGATCTTGTAATTAATGTCAACTAATTAGTGTCAAACTATGCTGATTACTTGATATTGTAACTTTATTCCCAGAAGAATCATCTTCTGGAGACAGCACTAACAGGAATAACAAAACCAGCATGACAGCTTCAATTAGTTCAAAGTATCTGCAGGTGGGCAGGGAATTAAGGAGACATTCTCACACACCAGGTATCTAGAGTTCTTTGCTAAATGGCTGGTGCTGTTATAGTCCTCCAGGAGGGAAAAGAAGCTGCTAATTCTTACCCACTTTTCCAGCTAAAGCTCTAATGGATCTTTTTCTTGTTATTTTGTCAGACATATAGGTTGTTAAGAGGCTATAAAACTCTTTACAGTGCATGCCAAACATATAATGTATAAACTTTTTAGGCTGAAGAGTCAATGAATATGCAAGATCAGTTAATTTACTTGCCAAGCAGGTGAGATGTCCTGTGTTTTAAACACACTATCCTAGATAGTTTCATAGTGTTGGTAGAAGAAATGTCCCAACATTTTGCTGCTACTGCCCTCTCCATTCCATCTTATTAACTACTGAATATCCCCTTGTGTAACTATGTATTTTAGATTCTTTAAAGAAGGAAAGTATATAGTATGGGTGAGATTTTTCATGGTGTTTGCCTGGGTGCACACAGGGTGGGGAAGGACAATTCAAAGAGTCGTTCTCTTTTCTTGCATCCCCCTCTCAAGAGCCAGAAATAATCATAGTCCCTGCATTCTGGGGAGAACAGTGACTGGTCCACCCTAGTGGCCACAAATGGAGCAGCTGTGCTCTCTGCTACCAGAGCTATCTCAGGGATGGAGAATGAAGCACATCCACCTAAGGAATAGCACAGCATGTGTGGTCACCCTGCACCTTTGGGAACTCATAGTCCCTCCAGGAACTCCTCTTTGGGCAATGCAGTCTGATACAGGCCCCGCATGCACACAGCACAATCTGGACTCTTTACATAGAAACCAGACTGTGTGGGATGTGATTTTTTCCAAAAAAGTTCAATGACATATTAGAAGAAACATTTAGGAAGTAGAATTTATTTGTTATATTTTCAAATGGTGAGATATGGTCTCAATTTACCATCTGTGTTACAGAATCTTATCTTTATGTTTCAAAAGCATGAGAGAATTTTAAGTAGTTTTCTCAGGACATGTTAAAAATTAAAAAAGGGGGATATTAGGAGGGTTTTAACATAAGGGCACCATTCACTGACTTGCACAATAAAAGGGCATGCCAAGATAGCTCATTCAGGCCCTGCCTCCATGGCAGAAGGCCATTCAGAGCATGTACACATTTTTTGGTATACCAAGTCTGGCTAGAGTGCTAATAGATCCCAGCTGGGGCCTGTGAAAATCAGTTATGCAGCATGTGTCCTCTACCAGTCACTGCAGATCAATGTGGTTTATTATGGTAAGAAAAATCACAACACCCACTAGGATCTGCTGTTTTCAGTCACTGCTTCGAGTTGGAATTTAATGATTAGCCCCAGCTGCCCTCAGGTCAGTATCAGTGTGCCAGATTCTGTCCTGATTTACCAATGGGTTGAATAGGGTGTGAGGGCAGAATTTGGCACAATGGCTCTTCAGTGGACCTACTGCCGTAATAAGAGTGGCTGGCCAACTGGATTGGCTAGTGGTTAGACCTGGGTTTGTGTGGCTCAGTTGCTTTGTGGTTTCCCTGCCAAGTGCTTCATACTGCTTTCTTGATCTTTGCACTAGGAGGGTCCACATTATTTTCCCACCCACCAACCTCATTCTTTGTCCTATTTTTGCTGGTTACTTGCTATATATGCTAAATTTCCCACCGGTGGGAAATTTTGGCTTTTACAAGAAAGCGCTTATGTTTCACTGTTTCCTTTTATCGTGCTACATTATATCTATCTTTGTGTCCTGGGAATTAGAAATGAATGGCTCTAGGGTATGGAAGGAATTTTGTGCTAGGCTTTTCCATGCTAATTTGACTGGCCATGGCTAGATTTTACCTCAAATGCCTTTTTGCTTTCCTTGGAGATTCAGATATCTTGCACATATTAATGGTGCACCTTGTATGGTGTCTGGGTATGCAGCAGTTTTCTGATTTACATGCATATGGTCAGTTCTTGCTGATAGAGCAGTATCCAGTGGGGGCAGGTGAGTCAAGAGACAGAACTTCACGTAGGTTAAGGCCTTGTCATCATTGGATGAGAGCCACACCTGTGGAAAAGTCTTCTCATCATACTAGACTGGACCACTGTTGAAGTATGGATAAGCTTGGAAATACAGAGGGGGTCTGTCCTGTGACACAGGCTGTGGACCAAGACAGTGCCCTGGTGATGCAGGTTACCGCACATGAATCTGGGTCAAGTTCAGCAAGAACTTCCTGCCTGTTTTAAATTTGGTTGATTTGAATCAAGGTTATTTAATGAAGGTCAGGTCCTTGCCTCAGTGAACATCCGGATGAAAGGGGCTGTGTAAGAGGGAATGCCATCAAGGCCCATGGAGGTAAGGTATATTTCCCACAGACCATTCTCTGGACACTACAGCAGCCTTAGGCTTTCAGTAGCCCTCCCGGCCCCTGTGTCCTGCTGGAAAGAGGGAATAGCTTTTGGAACAGTGTATTTACGGAACCACTAGCCCCACCTCCGAAGTCCCCTGCACATTGAGGTGCAGTGACTCTATGATGCTGTGCCTGCGCTGCAGGAAGACCCCTAGGTGAGCTCCACAAATCCTTCTACCCTTGCGTAATGGAATGGCGCCAGCTCTGCTGCGGTCGTTGCCCTTTTCAGCCATGGAGAGCGAAGGTCTGCCCCCAAAAGCTGCTGCCAGTGTGACCCCACCATGTGTCCCTCTAGTTCAGGGGTGGGCAAACTACGGCCTGCGGGCCACATCTGGCCCTCCAGCTGATTTAATCCAGCCCTTGAGCTCCCGCTGGGGAACAGGATCTGGGGCTTGCTCCAGCCAGAAGCAGGGTCAGGGGCCACTCCGCATGTGTGTGCCCTGGCTTCCGGTAGCAGCGGCATGTCCGCCCTCCGGCTTCTACATTTAGGGCCAGCCAGGGGGCTCTGCACGCTGCCCCCACCCCAAGCGCCGCTCCCGTAGCTCCCATTGGCCAAGAACTGTGGCCAATGGGAACTGCAGGGGAGGCGCCTGCGGACGGGGCAGCGCACAGAGCCACCTGGTCACGCCTCTGTATAGGAGCCGGAGAGGGGACATGTCGCTGCTTCCAGGAGCTGCTTGAGGTAAGCGCTGCCTGGATCCTGTGCCCTTGACCCCCTCCCATGCCCCAACCCCTGCCCCAGCCCCTGCCCCTGCCCCAGCCCTGATCCCCCTCCTGCCCTCCAAACCTCTCAGTCCCAGCCTGGTGCACCCTCCTGCGCCCCAAGCCCCTCATTCCCAGGCCTACTCCAGAGCCTGCACCCCCAATTGGAACCCTCACCCCCCCAAACCCCAAATTCTTGCCCCAGCCCAGAGCCCCCTCCTGAACCCTGAGCTCCTCCCACCCCAAAGCCCACACCCCCAGCCGGAGCACTCACTGCCCCCCGTGTCCCAATCCCCTGCCCCAGCCCTGATCCCCCTCCTGCCCGCCGAACCCCTTGGTCCCAGCCTGGAGCACCCTCCTACACCCCAGATCCCTCATCCCCAGCCCCACGCCAGAGCCCACACCTCCAGTAGGACCGCTCCTCCCCATACCCCAACCCCCTACCCCAGCCAGGAACCCCCTCCTGCACCCTGAACTCCTCATTTCTGGCCCCACTCCAGAGCCCACACCCCCAAGCAGAGCCCTCACCCCCTCCTGCACCTGAACCCTAATTTTGTGAGCATTCATGGGCCCCCATACAATTTCCATACCCAGATGTGGCCCTCGGGCCAAAAAGTTTGCCCACCCCTGCTCTAGTTGATGTTTATATCATTGGCTCTCATTTAGAGAAGATTCATCTGTAGCTAGAATAAAGGCTCAATATTTACTGGAAGTGATTCCAAAGAGCTTCCAGGTGAGGAGTCCCATAACCTTCCCCCCCTCCACACACACACACACACACACACACTCGAATCCCTTCCCAGGATTCCTCTTTTTATTCCCACACCAAGTTTAGCCTTCTAATCCTTACTCTCAAGGCCCAGCCCAGCTTAAATCTCATTTCCTACAGGTCAGCCTGTCCTCTCTCTTTAGTTTTCCCATTGTGCCTCCTTTGAAGTTACGCTTTACTTTTGGAACTGCCTCCCCTCCTCCTATTTGCTAAACAATCTCTCTGTCCTCCTTCAAACTTACCTTTCACTTTGCTTTCCATCACTGACCTCCTCTCCAATGCAGTTTTCAACCCCCTGTTCAACCTTTTATTGTTTCTGTTTAATTTACAGTGTAAGATCCTTGAGGCAGGGACTTTGTCCTTCCATACATTTGTGAAAGACCACGTACAACTGCATAAATAAATAGCAACACCAATAAGCTGTGTGCAGTACCTTTCTATTCCATTCAGTTTATGACGATGCTTCCTGGACATTAGCAGTCCACCTCCCCAAGCAGCCTGAAAGTGTTGCAAGAACAGGTAAAAAGTCAGTATTTTTGAAAAGTCAATAATATTTTACTTTACCGTGCACCCAGCCCTTTAAACCTTCCGGCCACTGGACTACTAATGGAAGTTAAATACGTGGAGCATTCTTAGGATGGGGCTCTATATCTATTTGCAACTCTCTTAAACTCAAAATCACAGGGAAGATGAGCACTGCTCAACAGTAAAGATTTAAATTCAACACCAAACATTTGCAGACTAGAATCCGCTGTCACTAGGATTAGTTTTAGCAGATTGTTCAGTTACTTACATCTACATGGAGCCAGAGGTTATATTTTTCACATATGTCTGCAATCTCCTCTATTGGATCAAAGGCCCCGTAGACTGTTGTTCCTGCGGTTGCATTTACATAAAGTGGAATATGTCCCTGCAATATAAATAATGTTGATTCAGCGTGAAATCTGGTCCACCTCAAAAATCAGACTTCAAGGTGATTTCAGGTGCTTCACCTGCCCCTGTGTCCCTGTGTTAACGTTTGTGGGTTTACTCTCAATTTTTCCATTTAAAAAAAATGTTTTTGTCTCCATTGTTGCTGCATGAAAGCCCCCCACGAACAACCATGAAAACTGATTCCCTGATTGGCGACACAGGGGAAATGGGGAAACTGGTTATACAAAGTGCTGTCAAATGCCCAAAGTAAACAAACAAAGAAAAATTGTGTCTCTGATCTCTTTCAGTTATGGTAAAGTTAGGAGACTTTTGTAACAATATTAAGCAAAAAATAAGTAAATGAAAAATAAAAAAAATTCAGACGGAAGTGTGATTTTAAGTTGACAGTTGTTCCTTTGATCTTTCTTGTATACAGTAGAATTTTAAAAGTGCAACTGCAAGCCGTATCAAACTGAGATGACTTTGAACTTCATTAAATAGAATTTAAAATATACCTATCTACTTGTTACTGGGACAGCATAGCTACAAAAATATATTTAATTTAATATGCAAGCTACAGCTTGTTTAGAATAGGTACTCTTGAACACCAACTTTTGAAGATTCCTCTTCACTGTTTTACAAAACATTAATTTATTCTTGCATTGATTTTTATTTTTAAATATAGGATTCCTCACATGGAAAATTAACATTAACGTTTAAAGGGACCAATCCTACAAACCCACCCTTGAAGCCAATAGGAATTCTAAAGAGTTCATAGGATTAGCCCCAAAAAGGTTCTTACATATTTTCATATAATTTTTCATATTAATAATAATCTTTTTCAATTTTTCTAAAACAGAAAAATAAAAAGGAAAAATCCTACCCATTTAGGCCTTGTTCAGAAAGATATATGTGTATATCAAGAGTTTGAAATAACTACATGAATTAAATAGTAAATTAAAACCAAAATCTGTAGATTATTTCTTGAACAGTGTAGAAATATAGAGCTATACAACCAAAATCATCATTGTAGAATAAAATAGGTCTCTGACAGCATCTAGAATAAATATTCTGATTTAATGTTATTCCTCATCCTCAAAGGGAAAATGTAATAAATTCTTAATCTAAACATTAAAGCTCTAAGCTTTAAAATGTGTACCTTTTGCTTAGCTTCCAGAATTTTGGCTTCCAAATCAGCTGGTATTATTTTCCCTCTGTAATTATTGCAGAAACAAAAAGATAAAGAAAATTAGAAGATTGTGCACAAAGAGTTTCAGCTACAGCAGAAATAATTTAATGGGATCTTTTCAACAGACCATTAGCAGCTTGACACACTGTACTGAACCAGTCCTTAAGCACAATAAAATAAATTTAACAGATGAACACATTTAATACATCAAGAACTTAACATTCATCCTACCTTTCATTGCATTTTATCAAAATCACATTTTCTGTTCCAAACCCAAGTGCAGCCCCAGCTTTCTTTATTGAGTAGTGACTCTGCAGGAAAAACATACACAGCCTTACTGGTGGAATAGTCACTTATCTGAATGTCTTAAAAACATTTAGCAATATATTAACAACAATTAGCAGCGTGTTAAACTCACATGTTCCGAAGTGAAGAGAACCAGTTTAGGAACTGCAGCCATGCCTTTAGTTTTGACTTCAGGGAAATACTTGTAGCGAGCAGCCATTATGCCGTACATATTGGATATAGCCCCTCCTATAAAAGAGCACAAAACATTGAAAATGAGAAAAGCAATCTGACCTTTTATAGAAGAAAGGCATGTCAATATCATTTGTGCAATGTAGTGAAAACTTCAGTGAAGTATGAAAGAACAACTTACTGAGATGCATGGTTATCTGTCAGGAAGGTCTAAAAGACAGACCTTTTAAGAGTCCATATTAGAAGTCAGAATTTCTTATTTATCTCCCCTTCTGATTGTTAATATTTCTGTAACACGTTCATTAGAGGATCAGTGTTCAATATGCTGCACTTGGGAATGAGGCCCATGACCTTGGTTAACAAGAATAGCAATTTCATACCTAATTCCATGTTACTGAAGACTATAACAGACTCTAAAACAACTTTCCTTAAACATTACCATTAACCGGTGCATTAGGCCAACTGTTTTGTGTCTTTTTCCTGCATAAGGGACGAGGACCTTAGTGAGTTTGCATTCATGGGTTTTGTGCTTAAGATTTGTCCTCCATCTTCTGAAACAAGAAGGGGATTTGTCCCCCAAAACCCACACATCTCAGGAATCCTGCTAGAAACTAGGGCCATCAGCAAAGAGGCCATGTACCTCTGCACTGCTTCCCAGCCCCCTCTGCCACTGACCATTGTCCCTATGCTCCACTCATGGAGTGGGTTCAGAGCATGGAGGGGGGTGATAAGAGAGGTACTTTGGCCTGAGCCAGCATAATCATACTCTCAGATTCTCTGCAGGTTTCCGGGGAGATGATGCCATAGAAAGTGGCCAGCCTCCAATCCTTCACCTAGGATTTGATCCTTCATCAAATCCTTATTGATCACCCAAAGAGCTGCATCTGTGAATTATGAGGAAGGGGAGGATGATGCAGCAAAGACAGCACACTCCTCTTCTACAACCTCCAGCTCAGATCTGTACCTAAACATGTGTCAGGATTTTTAGAGGTGTGAGCTGTCAGGCAAGGAGATGTAGTTGCTCAACACCTCTGGAAATTAGGCACCTAAATATGGATTTTGGTACCTAACTTTAGGATTAAAGTTTGAAAATTTTGGCAAAGTTTCTGAATGGCCCCTGCCATTATATTCATAACTATACTAAAAGATGAAAACTGCATATAAATGTTTTTAACCCTTTATGGGAAGTTTAAAAGAAACAAATGCTTTAGAAGGACCATTATTAGTTTTAAAACTCAGACACTGCGTTTTCTATTACAGAACTTACATGACTGTATGCTTTCAGCTACAGGCAATATTTATCTCAACTTGTCAAAAGTGAGACTAAAACCTACCAGGTGAGAATATTCCATCACCATCTTTATTTGACCATCCAATAATCTCTCTCATCTTTCGAAGCGTTATTTGCTCCATGAGGACAAAAACAGGTGCAATTTCATATGTAAACCTGAGTGGATAAAAAAAATGGATACATAGTTCCCATTCCAAAAGGCACATAAATGCTTAATCTTTGATCTTTCGTGAAAATATTTAAGACTCATAAAATTGCCTGTGAATTCAGGACCTTATACTGCAGCTTTTACTCAAACAAAACTTCCTACAAGGCCAGTGGGAATACTTTGCAAGTAAGGACTGCAGTATTGGGCCCCACATATGTTTTCCACTGTTTCTGTGTTTATACAATTTACAGTAATTACAACAATATTGACAGTCAGTACCATGCAAAATTAGACTGTAAAATATTTGGTTCACAGAGTGCCAGTTTCACACTTGTAGAATAGCATATTGTCAGAATCGTAGAGTTATGAAAATGGTAAGCGTTAGACAGCTTACCACAAAGATAATTAGAAATATTGAACTATGGCTTAAAAATCTAAATACAATTATTTATGTGGACGTAGTCTGCTAATAATCCCCAAGGACAATTTATTTCTACAATGCCATGCAATCAATATCTGTCAAGAGTAATTATAAATGATGATTTTCTAATTACCAATTACAAACAACAAGAGAGCAGTCAACTGTTATATCCACCTAATGCAGACCAGAAGTATTGCATAGTCTAGTATGCCATGCATGTCATGGACAAAAATTTGAATCTAGATTGATAGGCTATGCTACTCTGTTAGGTGACCAAGGAAGGCTTATTGTCAAATTACTATCAGTGTAAACAAGCTATGTGAGACAAGGTTTATTTTGAACACTGAAAAAAATGAATTTAGAATGGGGCAGAAAGTAACTAAATGTAAGGAGTGGAATTTTCAAAGGGGCCTAAGGGAGTTAGACACCTGAATTTCATGGGATCTGGGCATCTAAATTCCTTAGTCACCTTTTTAAAACCTAAACAAGGTCCTTAATGATATCCCTCTTCTGTCCTAACACCAAGATGACTTTGTTAGGATATCCATTTAAGATGCGATAGGCTTTGTATTTTTGTCTATTCCTAGTTATTTTCAGTTTTGAAGAGTCAAAACAGTACATTTATTTTTCTTTAGATCATCAGAATTGCAACAGGGAATCACTTCTAGTGGTGTTCTGGAAGTTGGGCATTGTCAGCTATGACAGAAATAGAGTTTATAAATTAAGCTCCACCTGCAGTATATCCAGGAGCAAAGTTATAACATTGTTTTTAAACACTGCAAATCTAGGGCCCAATCTTCCATTCCTTATTTGGAAAAACTCCAACTAAAGTCCATGTGAATCCTCTCGTGTACAAGTCATTGAGGGCCTAATCCAAAGCCAACTGAAGTCAAAGGGATTTTTTTCTGTTGATTTAAATGGCCTTTGGATTGGCCCCAAGTACTTTCAAATGGAACTCCAAATACCTCCTGAAAGAATAAATTGCCTGTACACAGAGTACAGAGCTATTAACAAAGTTTTTGTGTGTGTGCCATATTAAGAGTATTCACAGAGAAAATTTTAAATAAGTCAAAATGAATTAATGAAATTGCTAGGGAAAATATCGCATGAGCCTGCAAAGATTCACAAAGAAATGATGGAAGATTGTGGATGATAAAAAATCGTAAGTCCAATACCCAAAGACTAAGGCTAAGATCTGCAAAATCACTTTTGGGATTTGGATGCTCTAGTCTAGTCCCATTTATTTTTACCCTTAAGTGGCTTTGACAATCTCAGCCTAAAAGTATAAAATGTGTGCAGCCATGGAAAAACAACTCTTGTTATGAAATGACCTTCATGTGGATATGACCCTTGGAACTCCCATACTAATATAGTCTTTACCAATATCATTGACAGTGATTGCAAACATGGAAGGGTGGGTTTTTTAAAAACTACCCAGCAGTAGCTTAATTCTGCTCCCACTGAAGCCAATGGAAACTTTATCACTGACTACATGGGAGCAGAGTTAGATCAACACTGACCACTTCTGAAAATTCTACCCTAAATGTCTTATGAGTTGTCATTTCAATTATTGATACTACCCTGGTACTCAATTTGTATATCTACATGATGACTCTAGTATGATTAACATGGCGTATCATATTCATAAAAACACCAACAAAATATAAAGAAGGTAAGATGAAATTCTGATCACCATATGGGGAAAAAATATTCTCTGCAATTAATCAAAAGTATTGAGAGGTGTTTAGAGGTGGAAAAGAAAAATGGCAGTAGGAAGATAACTTAGTCACAAGAGTCCAATGTTACATGCTTCTGTAGCAGAACTAGGTTAGAACAATTTTTAGATAAAGGTCATTCATTAACTCTTCTTCACTACTGGAAAGCTGCACTAACCAGAGAACCTATTCTCTAGAATTGATCTGTTTGAATCATATAATATTGTATAAACACCTCTTTAACAGTATCTGTAATTACTGCGTTCTATTAAGCTATTTCATTTTGGTCTTAAATTCTTTAAATATATTGCATTTTTCCACTGCACAGCTGAGGTAAGAGAACAGTCTATGTGATTTGTGTTTGGTAAATCCAACACAAAAAGGGGAAGTTGTGCAATTTTCATGCTTACAGAAAATCATTTTCTATATGTATTTAATATGTGTCTCTGTTAAAGTGCAAATGGTCCAGAAAGGGTACAGAACTTTACTGAATTAAGCTATTTTAACAGGACAATTTTCTAAGTCAATCCAAGAAAAAAAAACCCTTCATAATAAATAATCACCTTTTTGAAATTAGATAAGTGAATGAAATGGTCTTAATAATTATTTTTAATATATACAGCCACACAGTATGCTGTCATAAGGTAAAATGCTGCTTTGACTTACAGCTTGTGCAACCTAACTGACTTCACTGATTTTGCATGAGCTGATAGTCAAGACAGAATTTGGCTCACAATAAGTGTCATCTGCTTAATTTACCTGATAACTTTAAAAACAGAGTATGCTTTCTCCCTACACAGTAGTGAAATTTAAGCAATGTTTTTTAGAAAATTAATCACATTTTTAATTTTAAAATGTTGTGTGTCATACTAAACAAATAATTCAACAGTCACATTACAAATTGAGTGTATAATGGGTTATTTTCAATTATTTCTCTTATTTGATTTACTAATACAATTTTTTTGAAAATACGAAATTAACTGGGAGCAGTATTATTAAAAAGAACTAGGTGTTTTTGAATTGAGTCTTTTATGTGGTTTTCTTTGTTTCTGGAGTCACTGGATGGGCACATCTGGCAAACTACATACAACAGCTAGTAATCAGCTGTACCCAGTGAACCATTATCAATGGATGAAGGAAATGAAAATAATCTTAATTTTTCAATTTGCAGGTAAATTTCATTGTGCCGTACACATTAGCAACAACAACAAAGCTACACTTCCATGCTAGCGGCAGTTTTAGGTGAAATGAACACAGCCATAACACAATACATACACACATCCATTAAAGTCCTGAAATGAAAAGTGGTATTTGTTATCTGATAAGTATTTTGACTCCAAGCATGTCACACTTTTTGGAGCATACACAAATCAATACATAATTTAAAACTGCCCAAAGGCTTTCCCCCCCACCCTCTCTGAATGACACTATTTGTTGTAGAAATACAACAATACACCTTGAACTTAATTTTCACTTTCATTACATTGAAATGTAATGAATAATGGAGTGTAATTTATTAAATAAAATCTAGGTCCAAAAGGTTATCTGTCTGATCCTGCCATACTCTGTATTTTAACTAATCTCAGTTAGGATAATTCCTTCATATTATCAAGTTAATTTGGAATGTTATGGTTTTTAATCCTTTTGACAGCTTTTCTGAAGCCACTTAAAAGCCACTTATGTGATGACAACTGAATAAAGAGGAAGCTAAGGGCCCAATCCTGCTCTCACTGAGGTCAATGGGAACAGGAGCAGAATCAGGATCATAAATAGTTTATGCTTTAGTGTTTGCATTAGGCTAATTGCAAAATTATTAATTGGAAAGTCAGATCTTAACAAGAATTAGCAAAGAAAGAAAGAAAGAAAGAAAGACCATCTAAATTATAAGAGTTCTGGTTGTAACACACTGGGATAGATAAACAATAAATTTCTCCAAAAGAAGTTCCATCATTTGGTTTTGCATTATCAGAATGACTATAGTTTACTTACACTTTATTTTGGGATATTTGAGTTTGTGTGTGATAGTAATGCAAGATTTCCTCTTAAAATCTGTTCAAAGCTATAATTGTTTCCACGAGTTTATTGCTGCGCTATATAACATAAGAATGTGTAGGACACATAATACATTACATGGGACATCTTCATTATAAATGAGTTGCAGAAATCAGTCCTGTATAATCATTAATCACAAAAAAGAAAGAAAAATAGGAGACTGCTTACATGTTAGTATTTGCAGTTGAGGTCAGCCATTCACCAGCCAAGCCAATAACATCCAGTCCAGTGGAGAGCTGGTTGAAAAAACGAGGATGACCTGGGAAGATGATTGAAAACAATATAGCGCATCTCATGCCTTTCATTGTTATCTTTGAGAGTTCATTTTTATTTCAGCAGACAACCAAAGCCTGGCTTTATAAGACAAAATGTGTGACACCAAGTAATACCTTTTCACAAAGTGAAAAGGTTGAATCTGTGGTTTATTCTGTTAGATGCCCCTCGAACTGCTGTAATTGAGGTGATGGTGAAGTCCAGGGGGATAACATATTTCAGCACCAGTGGTCAGCAGACTTGAGCCATATTTGCATTTAAATAGAGAAAGGAGAAGAGCTATTCAGAGTGTACCCCTTGGTCTAGATAAGCAATGATTAGGGTCGGGAACAGTAGGCACGCGGAGCTGAACAGCCAAGAACTCTGCTCTCCCTTCTCTTGCATGAGCCTCTGCAATAAGGAAAAGTTTCACTGGGCCTGATCCTGCTTGCACGGAATGCATGATTCCCACAGACTTCAGTGGGACAGGATTGGGGCGAGGGCCCTGAAAAGTTTTGAAAGAGAACATTCAGCTAAACTAAAACGAGGGTATTGCTCTAACTGTGAATTACTTTAGAGTCAGGCAGACCGCTGTATTTTAGCTGGCCTCTCTTTGCAAAGACAGAGTGAGTCCAAATATTAGAACAAGTCTGTTCACTCCCCTAACACTAACAGGTGGTAATCTCTCCCGATCAGAAATCCTGAGCTTCTGAGGAGTACCCGGAACAGATGTATAATCCAAAGCTCTCCCACGTATTTATCAATTCAACCCCATACATCGGGGAACTATGGTAAGGTTCAATGCTGGACACCAAAAAGGGACACGGGCACCTCGAATTTGACCCAACATTTAGCTTGAAAACAAACAAACAAACAAAAACCAAACTAAACAACCTCCCCTCCCCTAAAAACAAAAACAAAACAAAACAGTTTTTTACAAAAAGTTGAGCAAAAGAAGTATTGCCATAGGATTGTTAAACAATTTTTAAAACAAATAAATATTCCTCTGTAGTGTTTGTATCCCCAACACTCTGCAAACCCTGAAGCTGATGCAGACTATAAACTGACTATCGACTTTCATTGCCCAACCTCAATAATGCATGCATGCATCCATAAACAAATACATACAACAAACACCATTAATAAGAAAAGGAAAATAAGAACTTTAGAATCATCGCAGTTGTAATAAATGGCCAAATCCTCCTACTACAGAAATCAATTGGCAGAACTGCCAGGATCAGGCTCTACAATGTTTAATGTACTGATTTTCACACCATCCCCATTTTACAGATGGGGAACTGAGACACAGAAAAACAAAATGATTTGGCTAAGATTACACAAAAAGTTTGTGGTGGACGAGGGAATTGAACGCTGCTCCCCCAAATCCTTGGCTAACACCCTAGGCCATCCTTCCTTTTGAGGGATCCTTAATATAGATAAGAAAATTTGCTCTAGAACATTGCTAACATCCCTTTCTTGCAAATAGGATACACTGTGAACAATTGATCTGTGAGGTGCTTTAAAATAATTGATAGAATAAAGTAAAAAAGGCTCCAGAACTCTGTTGTAAATAGTCTGTTGTAGAGCATAAAGATTCCACATATTTGTGATTCACTGAGTATACAACTGTAAGATTTGTGGGGGATTGGGGTGGGGGAGAGAGGACTGTCCACTAGTTAACAACATTCCTAAACAATAGGCAACTTGCTCAACATCCATTAATTATTATAGCCTAATTAATTATTTTTACTTATACAAAATTAATTGCTCATGTATTTTTACACTTTTCCTGCAAGCCCCTCTTCAGGGGATTAGATACATGCATGGGGTTCACTACTTCTTTCACTCGGCTGCATATAATGTCTACATTACATGCCCACCAGGATTTTACAGTTGTATATTAACAAGCCACATCTTTTCTAACAACATTAACCCACACAGTTTTTGTAGGGAAGTTTCACACTCTCCAGAAAACCATATGCTAAATGAATGTAAATATTTGCTTCCAGATACTGCTCTGCTGAATAGTGGTTGGGTAGAGGTTAAATAGCAGTTATATTAAAATGAATTCGCTTTTGATTTTACAAAACAATTATTCTTCTCTTGCTGTTCTGACACAGTTTGAGAAACTATTTTAATAAATCAGCGGGGTTATCTTCCGCCGATGCTTTCAGCGCGTATCCTTTCCCCCTTATGATGGATTACTTTTAAACAACAGACTAAATAAATCCCATGGACTTCAACTGGGAGTTTGGCCTGAAGAAAGCCTTTACAACTCGGTGCCTGATCCAAACTCCACTGAAGTTAATTTATTGGAATATTTCCATTGCCTTTAACGGCTGCTGCTGGATCTGTCACCAAGCCCTAAATTTCTGATTTTAAAGTCCTTAACCTGCTGCTTCTATGAATACAGTCTGTTTGACCGTATCTGCGTCTCAAATCTCGGGAACAGGTGTCCTTTAATAACATGAATAAGAAATAGCTGCCAGCATACAGCACCAATAAACTCCCAGGTAACAAGTAGGAGGAATCAGGAGACAAGTGCTAGCTCAAGAGCATAACAACATAACCCCACTAACAGGACAATAGAGAACACAGACAACCAGGCATGGAATTAGGAAATTCAATTAAACTGCAGTAACTGTTGCTTTTGTTGAAAGAACATGCCGGCCACAGGTTAATAGGGCTTGGGAGGCTGAAATACGCCATCGCTTGTTAAAACAAGCACACGACCAAAACCCACAGTACTGCTGCTCTTGAAGAATTCAAACGGTGCAGGTTGGGCCGACAAGATTAAACTGTTGTGTTCGTGGTTTTTGTTGCTTAGTTCAAATCTATCGGTTTGTACTAGGGAGGAAGATACGATGAATAACACCCAGCAACCCTATGTGGCTGAACCGATCCGCAAGCAGTGTTCGCAGTTTAGAAAGCATGGCTCTTAATAGCTCATCGGCAGAATTTCAGAAGGAAGATTTGAACAGCCCCCCCGCCCCTCCCGGAGCGTCTATTGTCAAACCATATGAACAATCTGGAGCGATCCTGAATAGTTGTGACAGAAGTTGTAGCCTTTCCCATCGGTCTCACGGAGTGAGCAGAATTAGCTGCAAACTGCAACTCTGGAGCAGGGGTGGGGGAAGAGGGGATCTGCCCTGTTATTGCTCCAGGTCCTGAACTGCTATTCGGGTAACTGCCATATGCTGAGTTATTGGCAATTTAAATTTCTACCATATAGACTTAAAACGTTTCAGGCGAAACAACAGGCGGAAGATCAGTGGCTTTACTTTGGGTTTGTGGCTACCGCTCACTGAATAAGAAGGGAAGTTGTGATACAAGTATTTATTGATATGGGATTCAAAATGAGCTGGAAGTGAGAGACTCCCTGTGTGGTGAGTTGAAATCTGACGATTTCAACTAGTTGACGAATTTCAACTAACGATTGAACTAGTTGACGATTTCAACTAACGATTCCTAGGATTTCATTAAACGTCTTGTGAACATAAAGAAGAGAAATTGCGAATTCAGTCTCATTTATACCCTCATTTCCCTAATGGCATCGCTCTCTGGAGATGCAGGCGGCTTGCGTTTCATCAAGTGAAAGAGATTACGTCTTAAAAACTTGTGTCGGGGCTCCCCAAACAACCCCTGGAAATGCCCGTTTGAGCGACGGATGGGGCAGCCGCGCCTGGCACCGGTGACAAAGTCGCTTTCCGCGCGAGAGAGGGGCTGGAATGAAACTTTACAAAGTTGAGCCTCTTCCGGCGAGGTAGGGGCAGGGACCCAATCCTGCTCTGATGACTCACGCAAGGAGCAACATTAGAGTCAACAGGCCCCTGGGCCTGAGCCAAGCCCGCAGAAACCAGCCCCTTACCGCGTTTTTCCCTTCCCCCCACTCTAGAGAGCAGGATCTCTGGGACTGTACCTGTCCTGACTCCGTACTTCAGCGTGTCCCTGCAGTCCACCAGGATCTGCTCCAGGGATTCGGGGTTGTCCGAGAGCTCCAGGTTGAAGCCCTCCATCCCTTCCAGCAGCTGGTGCGGGTGATGGAAGTCCAGGACTTTGGTGGACCTGTCGAACGTCTTCCTCACGTAGTTCAGGAGAATGTCAACCACCTCCAGCAGGAACTGCATGGTCTGCTCCTCGCCATTCTTGGCAGGCAGCAAATCTGCGGCGGGCGGGACACAAGAACTCAGCGCCTGCCTTGCAATCGGGAGACAGAATATGGACCAGCTCCCTTCGGAGCGTCATTTCCCAGGGTAGCAGCGGAATGCCCCGGCTCCGGCTCTGCCGCACCGCGGCCGCCAGCCCAGGAATGGTGTGACAGTGTCTGGTGTCCCCTGCCAGGGCTCTGTCAGCTTCCTCCCCATTCGTCATCGGGCGGCGAGGGCACTAAACCGCAGCTTCCTGCTCGATGCTAAAAAGCGCATGTCACTGAAATCATGACACCCTACAAGCTAATCTATCGTGTTCCGAGGGAAAACATGCTCACCAACCAGCCCGAGAATTAGACGCTGCTCCCTGCACAACATTGTCTCAGTTCACTCGCTCTGTCTGGCGACAGAAACCTGTGGCTGAAGGTGCTTCTGGTTCTCCCCCCACATCACCCCATTAGGAGTAAATTAACTGCGATGCTTCCTAACCGGATCGCTATGCTGTTTTAACTAGCTTTTAAACACACATTGGTAATGAGCACTCTTCCCAAATTAAAAATAGATTTACTGTAAGTATTCATGGGATAATGGAACAATAAAATATAAGACCAGCACTCTGCCTATCCTCTCTCGCCTGCAGCAGATTGTCAGAAGAGACCAGCTTATGCATCAAAACGTAATCACAGCACTCTGACACAAACACACCCCTGTTAAGCATACTTTGTACTGGAAAGAATTTAGGGTTTTTAGTGGCCGATTTAAAATGAAAAAAATGCGTGTAACTGATTGTGGGGCAAATGCTTAGATGGTGCAATTGGCCTAACTCCACTGAAGTCACTGAATTAGCTGAGCCGATTTACGCCAGCTGAGGATCTCGCCCAAAGTATTTTAAATACATATAAGTACGTATATATTGATATTATACATGTTATCTACATCTACAGGGTGTTACTCTGACAGCAAAATTCTCAGGGAAAAAAAGATATTCATTATTAAAAAGCAAAATCTGCAACTAGATGAAATGCCAGAAAGACAGACCATAAAAACACTGCTGAGATTAAGCAGCCAATTGTTCTAAGGATCACTTACCTCTAGCAAATAAATTGGAGAAGTCTGTCTCGGCCCGCCTGAACCTGGCTTCCCTCTCGCTGTTCTCACAAGCCAGCAAGTTCTTGGAAGACTGCCTTTCCTTGAGAGAGCTCACAATCCGGCTCTTATCTTCCAGGCTGTTGTTCCTTTGCAAGAACCCTACATTATTATTACAAGATCCACAGGTCAGAGTATTCTCACTTCCAAGCATGTTTATAAACGCTTAAAGCTGCTCACTAGACAACAGTTCAAAGTGGGGTTTATTCTGTATCTACCTAATGAGGTCAGGAAGAAGAGTATTTATAGGGATTATTTGCCTCGAGGAGGGTGAGCTCCAAATGACATCGACTACAGAAACCCAGCCATGCAAAAAACGAATTTTCGTCATTTAGTGCAGTGGTAAATTCTTATTAAGTCGATCAGACAGATTCCACTTCAGTAATCAGCCACGGGAAGAGGGTTCAGGATAAGTCAATGCCATTGCAGCCTGCAGGCGAAGTTTATGGGCCTAGCAGACAGGAAGGGGCAGTGATGTGTGATTAAATCAGGGCCACTTTCAGTTTTCCTCCTAGTGTTGCCATCACGCTAAGGAAGCATGTTAGTAACTGGCTAACCTGGGAGATTGTCCAGTTCTAAAGATACAGGCACTAAGCTCAGCGAGAGTTCTCTCCCTATTAGTGATGATAAATTAATATCAGTAAAAAGTGAGGAGGTGCTGATTTTCAGGTAAAAAAATATTTCTGTGTTTTTAACCATTTCCTCCTGGCTTCAGAAAATCTGCTATTATCAGAGATACAGTTCTAACACACAAGATTATATAGAAATAATCATTATGACAATATTTTCAGGCGCTGAAGTACTTCCGCGATGGGCTCCATACAATATCCTAATAGAAAACAACAATATTCTCCGTGCACAAAGTAGAAATGAAACAATAATTATATTTGCCATTCAATCCACACTAGCTAAACAAAGTAAACCAGCTAAACCTGTCTCCTTGTGTTAACGAAGTAAATGGATTTTTATTTCCCATCCGGCAACATTGTTTTTATTGGAGACCTTAGAGAAACGTCTTTAGACATGATCAACTCTTCAGCCTCTGTAGCCACTTAACATCAAACGGTGCCATAGTTTTGTTTTAGTTTGAGAATGGCACATTCTGTGGTAATTCGACATTATGAAAGGGATACTGATAAAGTAAACATTTAACTAGAACTGTAATCATCTGTCATCCAAAGGTTCCCACTGACCCACCAGCCTCTGGAGCCTTAGCACTTGAAAAAAAACCTTTACCATCAAATTTGAATCCATCAAAACCAATCACACTTCGTGTTACCAGTTAAGGAGATCGACTGCGTGTAGGAAAAGCCAACACTGTAACTAGAAAAGGAGTACTTGTGGCACCTTAGAGACTAATAAATTTGTTAGTCTTTAAGGTGCCACACGTACTCATTTTCTTTTTGCGGATACAGACTAACACGGCTGCTACTCTGGAACACTGTAACTGTTTTCCTTGTTCCGTTCTGTCCATTTCCCTTGGCTGGCTTTCTAGACTCTGGGCTCGCAGCAACCAGTATACTAACTAGCTAGAGGTTTATTCTCTCATAGGTAAATGCTACGGGGGGCTGACGAAGGAAATAGCCTTCATGATTTTAGACTTTTGCAAACTGAAAATTGCAGATACATCTTGAATATGGGGGGGGGGGGGGGGGGGGGGAGATTCTGCTCTCAATTACTGCGCAGTAAATCCGCAGGCTCTGGAGTTCCTTTTACAGATTGTCTCAGTAGACCTGGAGCGCAAAATGCAAAGAAGAGGGAGTGATAGCCTTTTTTATTTAAATTGAATTGAATGATTCTGTATTAAACCACAATGGATTTAGCTCCTGTTGCTACAGTTTTAATCTCAACAGAGTGAAAAATCACCTCTGCTGCTTTGTTATGTATATGAAATAGCATACGGGTCAGAGTTTACCATAAAACTAGATAACACGATGATAACTAGATGAACTAATTGGCTACAGAGTAATACCTGTGGAACAGTTAAACTGAGCCACTAGCTGAAAATTGATGGTCTTGGAAGTTCTTCGTTTCAGTTTCAAACGTAGAGAAGAAATTTGTCGCATAAGACCAACACTAAAAGGTGGATGCAGGACAACAAACCGTCACTGCACGAGTCACTTAATCACCTAAATGAAATGAAATCAACAGGATTACCCCCATAATTGAGGATTACTATCCCATGGTTTACAAGGATGGCCCCAGATAGTCATTGTACTCTGGACCACCACTTGATGATCACCTCCACCTGCTCTAGCTTGTAGTTCTCATCCTCCCACCTCTACCTCATGCATTTAAGAAATCAACAGGATTACCCCCATAATTGAGGATTACTATCCCATGGTTTACAAGGATGGCCCCAGATAGTCATTGTACTCTGGACCACCACTTGATGATCACCTCCACCTGCTCTAGCTTGTAGTTCTCATCCTCCCACCTCTACCTCATGCATTTAAGAACATGAGCCTCCAATCCGGAAACTTCAGAAAAATTAAAGGGCGTCTAGGATCTAGTGCATGGTAAGGGGAGCTGTTCAGGTATTAAAAATAAATGATTTCTTACCAACAAACAAAAGACAAACGAACAACCCACCTAACTGCTGTAACCTTATGAGTAAATGATCCTCGAATAAAGAGAAACAGGCTGTAGCATAACAAAGTAGGCATGTGCTATACCGGGTGTATGGTCTGCCTCAGGAAGCATATTATTTTCCATATAAACAAGAAGACATTTCCTTGAGATATTCAGTGCAAGAAGTTCTGTAAAAAGGACAACTGCTCTGAAAAATAATAATACAGCGATTCCTCATTGTTGCATACCCCTTATGGCGTTCATATTATAGAGTGAAAATAAACATATATTTAAAATATTTCCAATACTAAGCTGAGGGGCAGATCTTGAATTACAGACAAGATGACAACTACCTCCCGGGAGGCAGAAGATTGTATTTAAGATGGTTGGAGAAGTTGTCTAGATGCTAAAGGGATTGGTATAGCTGGCAACTGCTTGGTTGCCTCTCCTTGGCGGTCGCAGTGTTTCACTGCTCAGATTGATCCCCTTACCGAGGAGACGGAACCAGAGTCCTTGTCCAAATTAAAAGACAGCAATATTTCCTTTGACATAAATAAGAAAGTTCCCCCAAAACCCCGGTCTATGTTGTTATCTAACTAATCTAAAGTGAATAAAGGCAAATGAGGTTAATTCCAGAACAAAGCAATTGAACTATTAATAGTAAGCTTCAGAGGGGTAGCCGGGTTAGTCTGGATCTGTAAAAGCGGCAAAGAGTCCTGTGGCACCTTATAGACTAACAGACATATTGGAGCATGAGCTTTCGTGGGTCCGCCGAAGTGGGTATTCACCCACGAAAGCTCATGCTCCAATACCTCTGTTAGTCTATAAGGTGCCACGGGACTCTCTGCCGCTATTAATAGTAAGTGACAGCTTCACTTGAGCGCACACCCCTAATGTAAGGACTTTTATCAGTCTTGATTCCCATTTAGCAGAGAGAATCTAGCAGCGCTGGTTAACGTTACAAGTCACTGAGAACACGGTTGTACCCCAGACGTGAGACTCATGCTCCGAGATGGGTTTATATAACTACTTTGTAGCCAACTTGGGGGCCTCGTCTTGTATTTTTTGCTCATCCAAAGCTTCCAGAGAAATCAATGGACATTTTGCGTGACTCAGGCTCAGGACTGTGAGTTGGCGCATTACCACCTATGTATAGACTCACATGGGATAGGACCACCTGGCCTTATTGAGAACCTACAAGAGAAAAGGCTGGTTTGAGGGCCTACATACCACAGGACTGAATTTAGGGGCTGTTGCTGCTTTAACTTTATTTGCCTACAGGTATACCTCTGTACGTTGTGGAGCTCTCCTCGACCACAATATTATTTTAATGGAACTTGGTGAATTTATAACATAAGGGAAACCAAAGTGGTTAAAAGCTGCACCAATAACAGAATGGTCTACTGCTTTCTGATTGGCCGACAACAGCGCAACAATTTCTCTTCCCGCCTACTTTTTTCCCCTGGGCATCTTCTAGGAACTGGTGATTTATAAACGCCTAACTAGCTCATTGGAAAGCAGAAAAGAGTAGCCATGCTAGGGCTTTACTTGGAGGCTGTTTCTGTGCCTGAGGGTAAACACATGAATAGATCAAAACGTTAAAATATCTGTATCCCACTTATGAATTTAAATTAAGAATTATGTTGGAGAGACAGTGGAAGCAGCGGAGAATAAATAACTGTCCATGCAATTTGTCGTCTGAGAAGACGAAAGCCCTTATTAGCACCTGCTACACTCAGACATTAAACTGCAAGTTATTTTCATAGCTTTGCATGGGCAGCATTTTTAAAAGCTACTTTTCTCAGGAATGTACCAGAAGGGACAGAACTAGAGTCCTGAATCTCAGGCTTAATAACAAGTAAAATGGATAAGAAACAATAGCATTTGCATTCTAAAGAGGGAATGGATAGTGTGCGTAAAACCGTCTTTTATACAACTTACACTGCAGATCAAATAGACTTCAGAAGGAGGGATATAATCCAGATTTCCCAATTCCCAGTTCAGTGCTTTAACCACAACATCACAGTCCCTCCATACACACATAAATCTTTTGTACTAGATGCATCATAAACCTATATCTCCCTGGGGTGTTAATTGCAAAAGCGCCTGGATGAGTCATGAGCAAAAGTCTCACGGACTTTCAGTAAGACTTATGCTCTAACTCACTTAGGCGCCTTCGAAATTCCCCCCGTGCCGTGTTACTTGCTGTTCTGTAGAGTATCATCATCAGCCGTGAAAGCAGACTGGGCCCCATCGCCCTACGCGGACGCGTAGTCCCACTGGTCTCAATGGGAGTAAAATCAAGTGTTTGTCGAATGGGGTCCCGTCAGCAATGATAGCAGTCTGGAGCGGACACTTTTTTGAGTGGGTCATAATGAAAGATTATAAACAAACTACACCCATAGTGAAAACCTTGAGCACGGCCAGCAAACTTGGCTTTCAATGAAAATCAATCAAGCCATTTAAAATACATTTGCTTATAAAAAGGTATTTCCCCCTTCCGACTGTGGCTTTTAATTAGATAAGAGGGCAGACAGACATATTTAAGGGAAGATATGCCGCATACATTTTGGACAAGTAGTTGGTAAAAATTTAAAATACACGATATACAAAAACATTGTTATCCATTGCTCACGCGTTTGCTTTTGCTTTGAACCATGTTTTGAATCTCATTTAAAGTTTGCGTTCAAAATTAATGGTTTTCAAGAAACAGCAGTTCTGCCTGACAGACAGGAGCGACTAATGTCCGGTTTACTGTAAAACTCTGTAATTCCATGATATGTAGGCTCTGAAACAATATTGTGTAGAATTAAGAGGAATCGACTGTAAATATTCAAATGTCATATTTCTAAATAGCCGTAATTAAAAAATGGTATTTGGCAGCATTCAGCTTTTACGCTATTTAGTTTCCAAGGGTAACTTTTTATTCCTGTGCTTGAGCTATATAGCAGTGTGATTAATTGTGTGTGTGTACTTATACATGTGCTGAGTAAAATAAATCACTGTATTAGATGAATTACCGTGTATTATCACTATTACCGAGTGTATCATTTTACTATAAAGCAGAAAAGAGTAATAAAATAAATAGTACTGAAAATAAAAGTAAGCCTTCATGCAATACAGTGTCCTTTCAATCCTTGTTTGTTTGCTTGCTTGGAAACCAGATGGTTATTTGTTTGAATTCCCCCCTACAGTCCTTTTCCTTCTTCAGATCCAACATGGTGGGATTGTTCATTTTCAGTTTATTTTATTTAACACCTGCACTGTGTGGTGCTGTGATGTCCCTTCATAACCCTGGTAGTCTAGCAACACAGAACAAACCCAGCGGTGCGTTACTTTATCAGTTCTGCTTGCCGTACTAAATTAAAACGATGATGAAAAAGCCCATAGCTCCAGACACTGAAGGGACCCGTAGGGGAACGGTCCATTAAACCCAGATCAGGGGCTATTTATAGAACTAAGCGGCTACCCGTTAATAGCACCATTGGGTTCCAATGCAACTTCTTAATAGACCGAGGGCTAAAAAAATTGCAACCTACAATTTCCTGAATCCAAACTTCCATGTAACAAAGCATCTAGCGAATGAGCTTTGATTAGGGAAAAGGGAGTTTAAATAGTTCTTTGCATTGATAAAACGCTCTCACCGCCCATTTCACACACACTAAAATGGTCCTCTTACTAAAAGGTAATTGAGAATGGGGAGAAAATAATTCCTATTCATAACGGGGGAAATGCTGCGTAAAAGGAATGATCGTTTGGCATCAGATAATAAAGATCAGACTCTTTGTCTTCAAAAGGGAAGGCGCGGTGAAGAAATCTGGAGAGGCGAAGACAGCTTGTTATCTGTAAATGAATCTCTTGCTGTAACGTTGCAATCTGATTGTATATTTGTTTCCTTTCCTTCATTTAATCGGCCTGCACGCTGACTGGCTGCCAGCACTATCTCCCAAACACAGCGCTCTGACGAATTGCTGTTTAATAAGGCTCTCGTTAATCTCTCCCCCCACCTCCACCCCAGGAGATTCTATTTTCCGGCCTGATAAGGTTGAAAATTTTCAGACAGTGAGATGTGGCAAAAACCTTGCTCGTTTCTCACAGCCGCCCTTCTGGCCGCTCCCTCAGTCTCATTAAGCTTCCACCAGTTCTGCGCCAGCCCCTGCCACTTTCGCCTCCCCTTAGCCCTCTCCCCAGCTCAGAGGAGCTGTGTCATCAGACAGGAGACCATGGTGAGCTACAATGCTCCTCAAAGCTCTTCTCATAAAGAAGCAGCATAGAGACAACGCTTCGTTTTTAGCAGGTCAAATAGTGCTGGAATGGGTAACCACCCGCCACAGCCCCACACAGACTCGGTCACTTTCTCCCAAGCTCAGTGCTTGAAAAAATGCTTTTAAATGTGGCTCAGAAAACCTCCGGGACGAAAAGCTGCGTAAAGCGGCGCTCTGAGCCACAGACCTGCTCCCGGGGACGTCGATGGGAGCGCTCCGATTGACTTCAACTGGAGCAGGTTCGAGCACAAGGGGGTCGGGTGAAATGAACCAGGGATTTCATTGTGTCTAGACCGAGTTAGGGCGGTGCTGCGCCTCCAAGCCCTGCGCTGCCCTTGCTCTTTTCTGACAGCAGAGGGCGGAAGAGTCCGCAAAGAGCGGCGCTCACGCAGCCTCCCACAAATTACTAAAAGCAAATCGGATTGCTAACTGAGGTTAGGGGCTTAATTGGGGCTCACTGGGAGGAGGCACATCTCTTCTCATTTTGTTCCCTTTGCTGAGTTATCTTAATACAAAGAGATGGCTTACTAAAGCTTCCCTCTCTCAGCCTTGCTTCATACCAGGAGAGAGCGCTCTGTTTGGCAACAAGAAACTCCCAGGCATGGAGGGGCTCAAAGACAGAAGAAGGGTCACAAATGCACATTGCGAACTATGGACAGCCTCTTTGCACTTACCACATATTTTGAGACCAATTTTTCTGGTACATCCATGAGCCACATCACACCAGGTGTCGTAAGCTAAAACAAAAGACAGATTCACATAATACAGAAGCCAGGCACTAGCGGCTAAGATCCAGACACTTCCATGTGGGGGGCATCTGCTGTTAAATTGTAATAAAATACCCCCAAACCAATACAATATACACTCCGCCTCTTGCCTATCTCCTCCTCCCTTTCCACCCTCATCCTCACTGCCCTATAAGGAGGTATACAGATAATTTCAGAGATCACCATTTTAAAAGGGCTCCAAGCGCCTAGTCTGTGTTGGACCAGCGTCTGGAGTCACCCGGGGCAGAGACGACTCTGTCTTCAAATCAGCAGCACCATCGAGATGTCACACCAGCCCATCAAGAAAGAAAGAAAAGGCATCTGGGACCTTAATAGCTAATAATTTATTGGCAGCCCTCCAACAAAATGGCAGCTTAAAATAAACTGGCATGAAATGGGGTCCTGGAAGAGTTCAGGAATTAATTGGGTGAAAAATAGTATTTGACTACGTGATCGGACTTGCATGAATAAGCTTCAGCCGGACTGACAGTGGGCAGCACATTAGTGCGTCTCACGTCTTCTCCCTACTTCTGCTCCCCACTTTCCAGCCGTCCCTTCATTCAACCCCACCCCCGGGCTGTGCTTTCAGACAGTGCACTGCCGGCAGGGTTCACTGCTGAACTGGGGATGGGCGTGTGGGTGTGGGCGGAGAGGGAGGAGGACAGAAGAAGCAATCGTTGACATAATCACAATTCTCTTTGCCTGGCGTTTGCCGCGTGTATGTGTGTGGTTTGAATTGCCGACATTCAGCTACCAGGAGGTTACTGTCCCCCTACAGTGCCAGGCAGCTACACCGCGTAAGTAGCGGGTATATTTCCACGGTACCATAAGCAGCCCCTCTCCAGTTGCCTCGATCTATTTCCTCGCAGGGCACGCTCCTGTGGTCACCTGAGCTAACGTGAAGCAAGTAAGGGGCTTGGGGTGAAAAGATCAGGCAAGCTAGCCCCTCGGAAAACAACGCCGGGAGGGGAACGGAGGAAAAACAAAACCAGGCAACGAGTGAAAGAAGGGCGAGAGGGGGGTAGAGAAGAACAGAGGAGGGAAAGAACGGGCCCAGTCTTTCCCCTAACAAACCTCCCCGCGCAGAGCGCCGGCTGGGCGGCGAAGCCGCGGCAGGGCGTGGGCCCCGATGGGCTCCGGGTTACTTGGCGCCGGTCCGTAACCGGACTGAGCAGTCGAGGTATAACACGTGCCCCACAGCCAGGGCGAGTCCTGTGCAGTGAGGGACCCCACCCCGCCGCCTGCCCTGGCTCACGCGCCCCGCCAAGGCTGTGGGGCCGGGCTCGGAGCTGGGCCCCTGGGATCCCTCGCTACTCGCCGCGGAAGCCGGGGGAGCCCGGGGCATTGGGCCCGCTCTGTCCCGCCGCTCACAAGCCGCTGGCGGACAAGGCAAGCGCCGGGCCTCTGGTGATGGAGCCAGGCCACCGCCGGAGGTAGGGCCCGGCCGGCTGGGGCAGGCGGGGCCACCCCCTTGGGCACGGCGAGCCCAGCGCCCTGGAGAGAGGTCCGGAGCGTGAGCCCGCCCAGCTGCCGCTCAGCGTCCGGCCACAGGCGGGACCGGCTTTGCCGCCTCTGGTCTCCCGCCGCCCGGGCCCGCGCGGCTCCCTGCCTGTAGGGGGCGGCAGGGCGCGACGGGCTGGAGAGGAGGAGCGAGAGCCCTGGCCCGGGGCTGGCTGGAGAATAGACAGGGGAGGTCACCCCAGAGAAAGGGCGGGAGCAGGAGCTTCAGAAGGGCAAGGGGGCTTGGGGAACCCGGGGCGGCTGGAGGGGCCCGGGGAGAGAGGCCGAGAATAGCCGGGGCTGCGGAGCAGGCAGCAGCGAGCGGGAGAGGAGGGGCTGGGCAGAGGCAGCGGCGGGGAACAGACTGGGCAGGACCAGAGCCGAGGCTCAGGACCGCAAGGCAGGAGGTGGCGGGCGAGGGGACCTCAGCCGAAGGGGTGGAGACTGGCTTGGCCAGGAGGGAAGAGGTGCGGGGGCTGGAGGGGTCAGAGGCGGACCCAGGAGGGCAGGAGAGGAGAGAGTGACAGCCTGGAAAAAGAGCTCGGACACTTCAAGCAGCCGAAGGCATTTAAGGGCTAGAATAAGATGGAGCCTGACAGCAAGACCATGGCCAAAGGGAGCCAGGGGCAGAAGCACATTCTCCGGGAACATGGCAGCCCTCCCCAGTCAACGCCCAGGCGGCCAAGAAAACAGCAGGGCGGGAAACAGCTCGTGTGGATGAGGGAGCTCTGCACTCCTGGGCTATTTCTAGCCCACGGATTTGGTTAGATAGAGAATTTCGTTAAGTGCCCCTCTGGGTGATTTTTTTTTTTAAAGTTTAAACCCTATCAGATTGTCCCCTAACCATTTTTTTGCTAATCCATCGTAGATACAGAGAGAAAATGGGATTTTGTATTGCTGGCAGACATAGTTATTTCTTCCTAAAACTGAATTTCTGATTAATCCGATTTTAGTCCTGACATCTCAGCAAAAGACAACGCCCTCCCGCCCAACAACTCAAACCTCACACAAACGAACTGTTTTCCAGTGGGGTTTTTGCATGGTGGGTGTCCCCCGCCCATTCTTTCCAGTTGCAGAATAATCACAATAATGACACTAATGTTCATGCCTCATAGCCCAGGCAGCCCTTTCAGGGTAAAAGCTATTCCCCGCGTTACTGTGCCTGTCAAGCTTTTATTTCTTACTATTCCCCCCTCTTTGTCTCCGGTGATTATGTCATCGAGCTCCCCCCCCTTCTTTTGGTAGTTGATTGTCTGAATTGCCTAGGCAGAGCGAAAAAACGATTCTCCCTCCACCTGCACCAGATCTGCTTCCCACTCACACCTCAATAACTCAAGGCAAATTCGGAGCAATTAGGGATACAGAGCTCTGAAAAGCTACAATTAGCATCGATTATAGGCCTCAATGTAAGCAAAAAGGAAGCCATAGCATTAGCAGTATAAAATGCAAGTCTGGAACACACTTCACACCCAGGGTCTAGTTTCACCTTCTAACCAAGTCAGTTCCCTCCACCCCTTAAAAAAAAATCTTGACTTTCTAGCCATCTGGGGAGTTAGTTTATTTTCTAAATCTCCCAAAATGTGCCTGTAAAACCAAACGCTACTGGAGCTGAGGCTTTTCGGCATCCTTAGAAAATTAGTGAAAAATCTAAGGAGCAGCCTCTGATTTTAAACCACCAGAAAGATGGGATCTTTCTACAGAGCAATTTCCACACCTAGTTTAAGGGCATGGAACAAGGATTTCCAGCTTTGTCGTTTTGTGGCGAATTTGGTCTCACCGAAATGCCATGCTAAAATGATAAAGCATCCAACAGGTTTAAAACGAGGAGAAAGACTAAAACCTACTTGTGGGTCGTAAATTAGTGGGGTTGGAGTCCTGATTGGCGTTGGAGGAGGATGGAGCAGAGGATGCCATCACTTCAGAAAGTCAAAGTCGTTTGGTCCCGTATTTTCCTCCAATATTTCTCTGGTGGATGGACAGTAAAGAATTTACTGGAAGGAAAGAAAAGGCGGCTTTAGAGATCTGGTCTCCTGAAAGGATGAAACGCGAGTCCTGTCTAGATTAACTAGTCAGGGTATGATTCTGCAGCCAACAATAAGCAATTAAACTCCTCGCGAAGTGACAGTGTCTGGGAAAGCCTGCACAAAGGGTTGCATCTCGAGTAGAAGAGTCCTTATCACGACGTTTCTTAGCCAGGCAAAAATATTCACAAACAAAGCGATGAAAAGGAAAGCTCAGGGAAGGCGCGCCGCGGACACTTATTTAGTTTAAGGCAGCTAACATGGAAACATGGCAATTAGAAAATTCTTCGATAGACTGAAGAGCCAAATCGTTTTTTGCTGGATGTTGAAGCGCTATATCCTGTGCGGAATGATGGATTTAGCAGACCATGAAGTCTATCGCAATTATATCAATGGCCACTGAAGAGGGCAATTATGGCTCATGTCAAATTGAAACCAACTTATAAAACAGGCTTTTAAATTATCAGTCAAAATGACCTACAATCGCAACAGAATTCTTGCTGCGATTCTGTGTTTTATCGTCTAGTCCCTGAAATATTAATCAGATTAAATACAAAAGTATTCAGGAAGGATTGATATATAAATCTTCAGATCTGTCGCCGGTAACAAAGGCACATTTTCTTTTTTGCCTTTGTACGCGTATGTGTGTTATATGCATGTATTCATGTGTGTGCATAGATGCACGTTCAACGTGCACACGACTGAACCATGCCATTCACATTTAAACTTTGGCATATGCTATCAGGGGGTACGTAGCTGAAAAAGGTGATCATAGTAAGATCCACCTCTTATGGACTAACCCTTGTTCCCAGCCAGCTGTTAAGTTCTTTACAGGCGGACATTGCATTCCAATAACCAGTTTTGGTTCGCTGATCGAGAACCTCCGGTCAATGCCTCGCTTTTCTGATGGTCCCCACCCATGGCTGGGTCTGATTTATTTTATCCAGAAAAATCAAGAAAGAAAATCAAGGTCCAGTAAATTAAGAAGCCCCCTCCTCCGAAGCCAATAATAAAAAAAATCATTTTCACTGCGCGGATTAAAACCAGCGTGTAAATACAACGGGCCAGTGATTTCAATGGTAAACGGGTAAATTATTTTAAAAAACCCACAACCAACCAAGATGTAAATAGACATCCTAAAGCAGAGGGACTCACTGGACAATGCCTGGAAGTGAAGTAACAGGTTAGCCCAACAGTCTACCACACCGGTTGTCTCAAAATACATATTATTTCTCCCTGGACAGGGCAGCCACACAAAAATGGTTTTGGGAAAAGCCCCCTGTTCCGAAAGAGCCTCCTGAAGGCTTGAATAATACAATCTAGTGAGGAGAGTTAAAAGGAGACTTACCGCGGAGGAGAGCGAACCCACCCTTACTCCAAGTGTCCAAAAAGCCAGGGGATTCTAACCTTGGGAGGGAGTCGCCGCTTATAAACTCCGCGAGAAACGACGTCGGAATACCAATCGCGCCTAGGAATTTAATTCGCGATGACCTTTTTCCACAAGTACTTGGATTTGCTTTTTTTAAAGCGTGATTCGCCGGGTGATCTGCTCCGACGCAGGCATGAGTCACACCGCTTCCACCACCTCCTCTTCTTCAATATGGAAGGCAAGCAGGCAGGCTGGGGGGAGATCGACCAGGTCAGTTTGCTGGGTCGGAAATCACGCGCCCAAGTGTTGCCTTCCCAGGCTAATGTGACTTATTTGCAGGTGTTTTGGTCGCCTCGGGGTTTTATAGCTCGCTTATGAATCCAGATCACGAAGATGCACCCAGAAAGGCTGAACCTATGAGTAATACAGTACGTACTCAACACGCTCTGTTTTCAGAGAAGGGCAGGGGGGCTAGTAGGAAAGACACTTCCGCTCGGCGATGTGCATCTTTTAAAATACCTATTGAGTCCTTTCTGAGCCCGAGAGGGTTATCTCCAACACAACAAAAACGTTCATTATATAAACACGAAAGCAATCGTGACTGCCAACAAACAGCCGATTTTTAAAAAAAAATCATCTCTTTAAAAGAAAGCTATTTGATCTCAACTTTAGCTGCCTTTCAGTCTCTTTTGTTCTAACTCATATCACACTGTACTACCATATAAAACATGTTATCTCAGGAATAATTTCAGGCAGTGTCTTTGTTAAATGGGGCTTAGCAAAAATACCCCCCACTCTTCACTGTGATCAGAATATTATACCCCATTCATTTTTTCTTCTTTAGGACCCCCCAAGCTATGAGTAATTATTTTTGTGAGTCTCCACCAGAGGGCGTCAAAGATCCAGACGGATGAATCTTTTGGTCTTTACCATGGCTACAAGGAACACCTGTTTTTTTATGACTTAGTTTAAATGTTTTAATTAGATTCAGGACTTACCACCAACCTCCTCTTGCTAAAAATAAATACACTCAGAAAACCTTTTTGTTTTTAGCCTCTAAAACTCAGAAGAGCATTACATTTTAAAGGAGATGTTTTGCTAGCAATTTCCAATGAGGACTGAAGTGTTAGGTTTCAAATTGTTGAAGTAACTAGACATATGAATCAATACGAATGTCTCTAAAGAAGACAGGTACATGATTTGCAGGAATGTGCAAATGTGACTGAAAAAGAAACGTCTTATGGAGGTCAAAGAAGTGTTCGTCAGTCAGAAATGTTAGCAGCATAACAGGTTCAGACGTGTCCTTTCTGAAGGACTTGGTAGTTGGAAGAATGAAAAAAACACCTTAAAATCTCCATTCAAACTACCGAATGACAGCACTAAATGCCCAGAACTATCGCTCCGCCGTGAAGACCCGCTGTCTAGGAAATGGACACACAACTAAAATACTCTGAATAAAAAAAAAGCATCTTTTAAATATACTTTGAAAGGATCTAATAGCTCCAGCTATTCTCGGGAAAACTATTAAAAGGATGTTTCAGCTAATGAGACAGAACGTTTGCTCATTACAGAGAATGAGACAAAATAATGTAATTATAGTTAATTGTCTATATAATTGTAAATAAATATATTTGCTTTTAGAAAATTAATACAAAATATGGCACTGGGTGCATTTACTCTTCTAGATCTTGAAACTTTTCAAGCTGTGTCTTCGGGTAAAAGAGAATATCTACACGTCTAGGCTCAAGAAAAACTCGAACTCGTTAGTGGGAAGTCAAACTATTAGAACCCAAAGTGCTGTCAGTGGCAAGCTGAAGACAGTTGTTTCAGCGTCTGAAACAACAAATCATTAAATGGCACGAACGTCCGTCAGGCTGAGTTCTGAAAAGTGCTGTTTAGAATTGCAAGGCAAACGGACCAAACTTTGCATGTTTTAGTCGACGTTTAGCAAGCACCATGTTTCCAACCGAAAAGGTAATGCGAGAATAATGGCAGCCCAGTAGACAGCAGAACATTCCTGCATAGGCTATAGAGTAAGAAAATTGCATTCACCCCTACACGCTCATTTAGCTGTCAAAACCCCAGCGCTGGTTTCAGCACCTCGGACAGCAATCATGTAACGATAAGGGAGTTCGATGCCGGTGCCTTCTGTGAATTAGCACTTTGAAGGGCAGGCGACGATTCTACCTCACGCCTCTTCCTTAGAGGGTTTTGTACGTACATGCAAACTGCCCGCAAGGTTTTTTGCTTCAGCTTTATGATCCACTCAAATAATTCAACTAACTATTGGGAGCGAAGCCGGAAGGCAGGGATCTGTCAGGGCCATAATTATTTCAGGCTGTTGCTGGAGTAAGAGTGGGAGGAAAGGGGAAAGCTGAGTGATGGGAGAGGGAAGGGGACCAGTGGCACACGCTGAGCGCTCTCTCATGGAGGTTGCCTTAGAAAAGCACGCAGAGCCTTGAAGTCAATGCAAAACCAGCAAAAACATGGTTCTCTCTCTCCCTTAGCCCCCCCCTTCGAACCCGAATCCCCCAGACCCGGGCACATTTACCTGACCAGAGCTCTGGCAGATAAAAGGTTTTGTGTTTGAAGTCAGTTCTTTGTCAAGGCGGATAGATACGGAACTTCGGTCTGAATTTAAGGTGCCCTTATGCCTTAAAGATCATTTTACATCCTTCTCCTAAAGGGTGGTTCAATAACACACCGCATTTGCTTAGATCCTTTTAATCCTGCAGTTTCATGCAAAACATAACACCCTGCCCATATTACATTTATCGAAGGCAACCCCCTTCATCAACAAGGGGAGTATTTATGTGCTGGCAGCTTCTGTGTCACAGCAGTAGTCCGAACCTTCTCACCGGGCAGAGGCTTTATCAAAACCAAATTAGGGAGCAGCGGTTATCTAGGGGGCAAATACAAATTTGTGGTCCCCAGTGTAGATTAGTCAGGAACGTAATTTTATAATTTAAAACAAACGTAAAATAAATCCGAGTTGAATCAAAGTGATTTCAAAAAGGCGTTTACAAGGGTGCAGCAGTCTATTGATTTTGACTCAGTAGGGCAGAGGGGGAAAACCCCGGGATAAACACAACAGTAGTGAAGATAGCCTTTGTTACAAGGGGAAAAATGTTTTAAGAAAAATTCCTGCAGATGGCGCTATTTCTCAATTTCAGCTTTTGAACAAAAGTAACCTTAATGGAGATGGGCCTGTAGTGAACGCAATAATGTATAGCTTACACTTACTGCGTTTATTTCACTCTGTGTCCTGTCATCTGAATTAATGTACAGTTCAAGGGGGCCGAACCATCAACTCCTGTGGCTTCAAGGGCAGGTGAGGGTGATCTACACCGTGTAGAATCCATCCTTACATTAAGGGGCCTAGAGTTTCATTTTACACCCATTGGAGAGTATAAGCAAGACACCCGGGGAAGAAGGTGGGAACAGTATTAGGCCCTTAACATTTTCCCAGCATAAGTCCCTGCATTTGCTTTCAAAATTCAGAAACATGGTAAATATTTAGACTTTTAAAACATAAAAGGTTCCTAAGCAGTTGTAAAGATTATTTCCTATGGTTAGACAGGGTCCAAGCTGAGAGACACTGGTTTCAGAGGGAGCTGCAGGTACTCAGTACCTCTCAAGATTAGGCCTCACTCTGTGATATGAACTTGAACTATTTGTACAGTTACTTTACCTTAAAAATGTGTGTAAATTGTGCTTTCGCTGCCTTGTTTGAGTGCCCCTTACACAGACCATGCACACAATTGTTTTCTGTTGTGTGCTTTGCAAGTCAGAAACCTGACAGAGTGTCTCCATTCTTTAAACTTACATACCTTTATTGAATGAGTTAAATATGTCAAATGAAAACTGTTAACCTGCTGTATAAATTCAAAGATAGTAGGATATAATATGCTGTAGTGCTACATTCTTGGTGCCTTTATCATCATGGTGCAGGTTAGAAATCTCCTATACAAGTATTGTTTAACACCTAGTATTGGTTCCATTTAAACTCATCCGAATAAGTTCTCCGTGAGCAGGGAGCAGTTAATATGAACCTTGAGAATTCTGGGAGGCTACCAGAACCAAAAATAAATATCTGTATGGCTATCCCTATATGGCTATTCAATAATTAAGGTGCATATATAAATTAACATAGATCTGAATAAAAACAAATGGAAAGGGTCATTAAGATACAATATACCAAACACTGGAAGCTAGCTCTGCCTGTTTAGAGTTTCAGGAAGTGCATTACCAAATATGGTAGTTTCTCCAATACTCTGGCCTCTGTCTTCATTTGTTTTTTCTACACTTGTTGCCTCAGTCCTCATATGTTTAGACAACACTCCCTGGGGCAGGTACAATCCTCACACATACCCCAGTCCCAGTTGGGGCCTCTAGTGTCACAATAAAAATTATATTCTACTCAAAACTCATGCTTCTTCATTACATCACACTTGTAACCACTGTAACTAGTTATGCTGAGCTCTGTTGTAAAATATTTTGTTGTGTATAGTTATCTACTTGTACTTAATAAAAGGTTGCTTTCACTGTTGATGCTATTTTTAAATCCTTGCATGAGAGACCATCTGCTTTATGTTTATGATTGATCAGCCACAGATCTATGCTAAGTGTTCCACACTTAAAATCAGGCCTATCACTTATTTCAAAAATAGCTAAATAAAGGATGCCAGCTAGCACATTCTGCACCCCTGCAATGAATGACATGCAGAAAGGTCTAATCAGAAATCACATTATTTTACATACACTGTGGTCTCCCTATAATGCAAGATATTCCCTTCTTTATTCGCGCTTGTTTGTGCTGCTGTCTATTCTAAACACGTCTAATCTCAAGAAGAAAAAAAAAGTATGTAGTTTTCTTTAATGAAAGGACCAAAAGGTGGTCCTACTTTGAAAAGTAACTTTGTAAAAATGGTACTTTACTCAGCAGATCTGCTCCTTGGGAGTAGTTAGAGAGTTGCAGCTGCTTACTTTTGTGATTCATAATTTTTTACTCCCTCCTCCCCAATTAATCCCGCAGTGTTAATATAGCTAGAGCTGGATTCCATTCGTTCCTGTGTGTTGTCAATAGAATTGTTTACTTCCCACTCAGCTATACCTGCACAACCCAATTAAAGGGCATAAATGAGGCCCACAGAACCTTCAGTAATGGTGGTAATATACAAAAAAGTAAAGAACCCAGGTTGAATCTCAAATCCTAGATAGAATTTGGAGGGCTGGAAATTAGAATATATATTCTTTTGGGGGTGGTAACAAAAGTGCATTTGATAAGGAATAATTGAGATACAGCAAACAGGGAACCTCTTGCCATGCAAAGAGTCACTTTTCAGAGTATAACCAGACCTGGGAGACCTGAGCTATTTTCAGGATTATAACATTGGGCATATGAAGGCTTCCTACAGGGGTTTCTTAAATCAGACTCAACTTATCCATTTGCAAGATTATT